TCTTAGCTGTACTATAATCACACATTATGTTAATGGGTTATCAAGAAGTCTGTATTCTTGGAATAAGTCCCATTTCATTAGTGTATAGTACCTGTTCAGCCTAGTGTTGAATTTTGTGTGCTAGTATTTCATTTTGAGCATTTGTGTTGATGCAAGGAATGTTGATATTTTATTTCTTTTATGAGTTGATTGGTCAGTCTTCTAAACCCTCCCACTGTTTGTCCTTTGGACTAACTTAACACAGAGGGCTGTCACTAGGTGATTTTAAAGGCTCGCCTCACTTGCCCTGATCACCTCAGCTGTCCTGCTCAGGTTTCTCAGTCTGTCTGCTCTGCTGCTGTGACCTGCACCATTGCCTGCAGCGGTGTGTGTAAGCCCTTCATAATAATGGGGTGATGGAATGTGAATACTGAGCACTTCCCATCTAAGTAGGAGTTAAACATTTGTAGTTCCCAGAACCAATGCTGGGCTTCTTGTTCGTGGAGTTGAAGAATAAACTTGGCAAACAGTCAAAGTAGGAGAGCAAGTGAGAGTCTCTTACTTAGAGATAAAGTAAGAGGAAAGATCTCCTGGCTTGCACCAGGAGGGGGCAAGAGAGCCTGTAGTTGTGTATTGTCTAGGGGCTTTATAGGCAGTTGAGGATTTTCGGAACCGTGATAAGGGGCTTAGGGGTGTAGACTTGTTAACTGGTCCCTGAATATTTAAAATTAACTTAATACAGGAAGTTTACTGCTCTGATTTCTCCTGAGATAACTGGCCTCTGGGTCTGAGAGCCTATCAAACAAGACCACCTGCCCAGCCCCCCAGGTGGGCTGAGCTATTGACTGTTTGCTAAAGAGTATGTTAAGAATATACTTATCTTCCTGGGTATTAAAGTGCAATCTTATCTTTAAGGTGGAATCCTTCCTGCCTTTTACTATGTTGTTTATGGCTGGGCTTGCTTGCCATTTTTAATTGCCCAGATTGCGAATAACCTCATCAGATTTGAAGAAGGAAAAACAGCACATAGGCCTGGGCCTTTTAGCATGTTAAAGTGAATCTTACACATGATTATAAATGATTAGCATAATAAAAAACCTGGGCTACTTTCCTTTATCTGGGGAATATTAACTGCTCTCACTGAAAAATGACTCTAGAGCTTAATGTTTAACACAGAGTTTTGGTAGGGGGTTTCCTTGCATGTTGTTACACTGCTCTGACTATGATTACCCTGCCTTGCTTTTTCCGGAGGCCCTCACCCTACTCTGACTACACCCATGGTCCCTGTCTCAGAACTGCTCCTTAACAACAGCTTTGAAAGCCCTGTTTTTGCTGGTCTTTCAGTGAAGTTCCTGTATCCCCGTGTTCCTCTCTGTTGGATCTTGGATCTCTGTGGATTATATCACTGAATGTTTTCAGGAAAGTCTTTTCTTCAGTGGTAATAAATTATCTTGCTTTCCTGAAAATACCTTTACAGTGTCCTTAGGCTTCCACAGTAGTTTGGTGTGGGGTACAGTTCTAGGTTCCAGATCTTTCTCTTTCAAAAGTTGTGGCCATTTCTCCATTTCTTCTCTGACGAGGAGGGAAACATCACAAACTAGTGTGTCTTTTTTTCCTTTTTAGGAATTTTCATTAATGTTTCAATTTTGAGTATTTTATCAGGAAATTTCTGCATCTCTGTTTGCCCCCCAATATTCTTGTTTGCAGTTTCGATGGCCCCGTGATGTGAAGGATCACGTGACTCCCAAGCTCAGGTATCATTCTGGTCTGCCTTGAACCATTTCCTGTTGTTCCTCTTCCTCATTCTCTCCCTGTGAAAATGTTGGATGTGTTGATCTGGCTTTCACATCTCACATTTTCTTTCATCGGTGTAATTTCTATTTATCCAAGCAATTTCCTAAGTTACATATTCTTTGTCCATTTGGTACTCAAGCTTCTTAAGGATTTTTTAAAAATTCAACAATCCAGTCTAATTTCTACATGTTCTCTGGTTTGTGTTTCCTAGCTGAATGTTCTTTTATAGAGCCAATATCCCTTCTCATTTATTAAAAATGTAAGTCAGTAGATATATGTAAGATGTTTCTTTCATGGATTTGATGTTATCATTGCTGACTTGTTCACTTAGATGCTCATTTTATTTGTGCTGTTTTCCTCAATTAACTGATGATTTTTTACTTTTTTAATTCCAATTTTTGTGAGAAAAATTGTTAGCTAATGTGAATATGCTCACCTCTCTCCTTTATGGAAGGGGTGATTGCAGAGCTCTAGAAGTGAATAGGGGGGATGTATATTTAAACAGCCATCACTTCACTTTTCTCTTCCAGTATTTTTATTGTAGTAAAATAAATCACAAAATTTACTGTTTTAACAACTTTTAAGTATACAGTTCAGTGGTATTAAGTACATTCATATTATTGTGCAGCCGTCATGTTCCATGTCCTGAACATGTCTCATCTTGCCAGATTGAAACTCTGTCTCTCCTAAATACTAACTCCCCATTTCCCACCCTCCCTGTCTAGCCCCTCACGCCCACCATTCTACTTTCTGTATAATTTTGATGACTGTAAGTACCTCATCTAAGTGGAATCATACAGTATTTGTCTTGTGACAGGCTCATTTCACTTGGCATAATGTCCTGAAGGTTCGTACATTTCGTAGCAGGTGTCAAAAATCTCCTTCGTATTTAAGACTGAGTGACGTTCCACTCATGTATATACCACACTTTGCTTATCTGTTCATCCCTAGATGGACACTTGGGTTACTTCTGTATTTTAGCTGTTACAAATAATGCTACTATGAACATAGGTGTATAAATGTCTTTTTAAAAACCTTGCTTTCCATTCTTTTGAGTATATATAACCAAAAGTGGAATTACTGGATTGTATGGTAATTTTATTTTTGATTCTTGGGAAAACAGCAATGTTATCATTGCTGACTTATTCACTTCGATGCTCATTTTATTTGTGCTGTTTTCCTCAATTAACTGATAATTTTTCACTTTTTTAATTCCAATTTTTGTGAGAAAATTTGTTAGCTACTGTTAATATGCTCACCTCTCTCCTTTATGTTTTCTACATTGGCTGCGCATTTTACGTTCATACCAACAGTGCCACATGGGTTCTAATTTCTCCAACACTTGTTTTTTTGTTTGTTTTATTTTTTAGTGGCCATCCTAATGGTGGGATTTGGTAATTCATTGTGCTTTTGATTTGCATTTCCCTAATGTTAGTGACGTTGAACATCTTTTCACATGCATGTTGACCATATGTGTTCTTTGGAGTGTATTCAAGTCCTTTGCCCATTTTTGAATCATATCTGTTTTTTGTTGAGTTTTAGGATTTCTGTGTACATTCTGGATATTAATTTCTTATCAGAGATAAGATTTGCAAATAGTTTTCCCATTCTTTGGGCTGCCTTTTTCTTCTTGCTAGTGCCCCTGATGCACAGGATTTGTAGGCACCACTCTTTTGAGCTGGCAGTGAGTTGGCAGATAAGTCACTCAGTTGCTTTACATAGAAAGTGGTTTCTAAAAGGTACCTTTAGGAAAAATATCCGTGTCCAACATGGATGGAGTAGAATGTACGTTGTGGTTTGTCTGACGTTGTCTTGGATAACCCCTATATTCCTGGCATCCCGTCTAGTTTAGCATTTGTCCCAGAAAGAAGTTTTCTGTTTGGACAATGAATATGCGGTCACCCTAATTACAGAAGTCTGAAGCATGCTGTACTCTGTGTGCCTAGGCAGAGAATGCTTATCAGATGAGACATTCATCTGGCTGCTCTGTGTGCTGAAAACAGAACTACTCAGCTGCTCAGGTGGTTCTGTGGTCAGTTTCTCTGTCAGCCAATCACTACTGTTCGCAGGGACCCTCGGTCCTCTTGATGGGCCCGTAGACTTTCAAGGGGTCTGTTGGGGAGTCTGGGGTTCACTTTTGCTGTGGGCCAGCATCCGCCCCTGTGAAAAGCTTTGTTCTGCAGCTCTGATTGCTCATCTTCTATTCTACTACATATGTCAAGAATTTCTTCAAATTACTGCTCTTGGTAACCTCTGTGTTCCAGTTTTCTATTTTTATATATTTTTGAATTGGTCTTTTTTTTTTTAATTGGTCTTTTTTTGGTTTTTGTTTTGCTTTTGAGGCAGGGATGTTCACTTTACTATCCTAAATTAGAAACAACTCACTGTCAAAAAACTGTCCTTAGAAAGTGCCTTGTCTCTGTCCTCTTCTTTCCTTCCAAGCTCTTCAGTGCTGCAGCTGCCACCTCAGGTTTTGCCATCATCTTGATGTTTCCTTCTCCCTTGTCCAGTGGAATACAGGGTGGAATCTGCAAAACCCAGTCTGGCAACATGAAATTAATTTGCTTCTCTTTTGTTAAGTCACTCTCTGCCTGTATACATCACTCATACCTTGGATGAATCCAAGCAACAGATATTTATTGCTGCAACAGATACTTATTGCTGCAAGAATGAGGTCTTTGAGATAAGATATTTAGGATAAATTCTGAAGGAAGTAGAACCCTTGGTCATGCAGATAGATACCTGCAGGTAGCCAGCCAGGAGAGTGAAAATCACAGGGTGGAATTGCCTAGCTGGGGTGAGCACTCAAGCAGGGAGCCGGTAGGGACCAGGAACCGAGTCCTGGTGTGCACCCCGAGGAGGTGGGGAAGGAGGCCCAGCCAGCCAAGGCTACTCAACAAGAACAAGAAATGAAAAGCATATGTATACTCATGTGATATCTCCTCAGCAGGCTGTCAGCTACTGAGAGCAGGAATGGTGTTTACTTATATCCCCCATAATTCACTTCAGTTGCAAAATGGAAACTCAAGTTTTTTGTTTTGTGGGATTTTGTTTGTTCAGATATATTAAAGAACCCAAAGGAAATCTGTTTCCAGTATGGTTTGTTTTCCCTCCACAATCTATAATATAAAGTACAATGTTCATAGTTAACTATCTGTGGGCCTGGTGAATTCTCATCCCCATACATCTCCTCCATGTCACCCATATCTGATCTGGTGCCACTGCAGGGGCCAGTGTCATTCAAGGATGTGGCCGTGGATTTCACCCAGGAGGAGTGGCAGCAGCTGGGGCCTGGTGAGAAGGCCACCTACAGGGACGTGATGCTGGAAAACTACAGCCTCCTTGTGTCTGTGGGTGAGGAGTGCTTGCCTTCTGAGCTGCTGCTGTGTGGGGGCTTCTAACGTGATGATTTTATTTTTGAGTCTGAAGAAATAAGAGATAAAATCACTTAATGCCTTTTGAGCACCTGGGAGAGTATTTGTATTTGTACTTCTCCATCAAAAGGTTCTCATTTTGATATGGTGCAAAACGGGGCCCTTTGTTAAATAGCCTCTGGGGCAGCATCTTCTACCCTGAAGCCTCCCTAGTCCACATCCGTCTCCATTCCTTGTTTACAGGGTATGATAGCACCAAACCAAAAGTAATTCTCAAGTTGGAGCAGGGAGAGGAGCCATGGTTAGCAGAAGGTGAATTCCCATGTCAGAATCATCCAGGTAAGTTAGTAGAATGTTCTGTTATTAAAATTGACCCCCAAGACCTTTGGAAGTGACTAAAGGTATCTCTCAGCCTTACATGCCAGAGATCACTCCTCCCAGGACCCAGACAGCACTTTCCCAGCATGTACACGCAGGCTCCTTTTTTAATTTTACCCTTGATTTGCATTTTGTAGGGCTTCTCCATGCTTACCAGGCCTGAGGCTCCCTTTGAGTGCTGTTCCCCTCAGTAACTTAGCTGCTTCCCTATCACAGAATTTCAAAAGTCTGGCAGAAAAATTAAATTGAAATGTCTGTGCTTATTCTTTCTATCTTCCCTTTTCTTTCCTTGCTTGCTGTGGAATGCCGTGGCCAGTTTTCTGCTCCTGTTTCACTGCCCACTCAGGGCACTCAGGTCCTGTCCCTAAGCTTGTTGGAATGGTTACTGCCTCGCCATGGGGTGCATTTGCACTTCCTTTGGACTTGTTAATCACTCTTCCTAAATCTGTCCTGGCTTGATTTGGCAATGTAACAGGGGCTGTGCCTTCCTCTTTTCCCCAAGTGCTGGCTCATGTCTGCTGTCTGGCCATTCCTGTGTCCACAGTAGATGTTCAGAAGTGGCTCCTAGGATGTATTTACCAATTCTTTGGTTTCCTTTGTGTCCCTTAAAAAGAGTTCATGTATTTTCAACTATTAGGACTTTTTTGTTTGTATTTGTGGGGCTCATCCCCATTGATGTCTGATGCCTTTAACCTGTAGTCTAGGTGAGTGTTTTACCTGACAGTGAGAGTGCCCATGAGATAGTCCACTCCCTTCTTCCTCAGAATATCTAATGGTAAACTGTGAACTTCCCCAATCACCAGTTCTCTGCACCTTCCTCACCCCTATCATTTATCACCTTGTACTAGTCCTCTCTTTCTGGTCTCTGCTCTTTGTCTTTTGTGAAGTGCTTAAAATTTTTCTGCATAGTCTTAGTTTCTTCTCATATCATGTAAACAATGCTTTCTCATACCTGGATTACACTGAATTCTATTTGGAAGTTGTAAAATTTGTTCATCTGAACATCCATTTGATATAATGAGCCAGTAACTATTCTGTTTTTTCTTAAATAGAATTTAAAGTCTCCCCACTGGTCCCACAAATTTATGGTGCAATGTTGCATGTAAAATTAATGTCTCCAGTTTCCCCAAACTCTTGTTAAATTCCACTTGGTGTAGATTTCTAGGTGTCTTCCATTCAAATTATCATCCCTTTCTTCTTGCTTAAAGTGTACATATTCCCTCCATCTCTTCCTTCCTCTCTTCCATCTTTCCTTCCTTAATTAAGACACTTCATAAAAACACACAACATTTACCATTTTAACTGTTAAGTTACTTCTTAAGTGTTGTTAACTATATTCACATTGTTTGCAATGGAAACTCTAAAACTTTATCCTTACATTTGAGCTTAAAAACTCAACACCTGTTTGAGGATTCCATCGTTACCCATTCACCACGCCAGGCTTTGTCTTCTCTTAGTGTCCTTTCCACTTGGTGATCATGACAACAGGCTTAAGATAGAATTATATATTCTGAAATGGGACATGTATTTGTTGCTTGAACTTCTTTCTCTACCTGAATTATAATCCTCCAAAGAGGAAGGATCTTTTTACTTGTTTTGATATGTAACATAGAGAAGGCATTCACTAGATTTTTCATTGACTGAGAACCTGGGTAAATGAAAGTTCTTTATTGTTCATTGAGATAGAATTTATTCTGAACTGTAGATTCTGACAAAATGGGTTCAGACAACCTGAAAGCACCCGCATTTGATCAGACTTTGAACTACTTTAATATCTAATCACAGGGAGATTCAAGGAAAATAGGAAATGTACCCATATTTTCAACAAGCATAAGTTTTAATTAGGGAGAACATGGCTGCATAAACTAGTTTACAATTGAGCTTTCACATGAAATATTTATATTCAAATACATGTTACTCAACTTTGTGTTAAAGCTATTTTAAAAATGAGAAGAAAAGCTTCAAAAAGTGGATAAGAGATTTGATAAATACTCTAAAGCTTCCCCTGAAATATAGGTAAGTTTTGAGTATAGCCAACACTGGAAGTGAAATTGCATAAACAGAAACCTGGACACAGAATTGTCATTGGGAACAAATAAGGCAAAGCTCAGGCTCCTAGCATAGAAGGTGTTTTTGAAAGATTAGTGCAATGCTCATTTGAATATAGACTGTGAACCCAGGTAATGAAAAATCTTCTTGGTGAATGATAACTTCTCCAATTTTTAAGTATCAGTATTTGGAGCTTTGGGGCTCAGGGATTTAGATTTCTGAGCATGGGACTGTCAGTATTTCCCTGAATGTGGATGAGAGCAGCTAACAATAGTTCAGAGAATCAAAAACTTTATAAGATACATAAAATAAAATCATAGGGGCAGCATTAGACAACCCGGTGTTTAAGGGTTTAAACCAAATAAAACCTGGGAGTATGAGAACTCTTGTACATATTCCGAATTAAGTCACAGTGCTATGTCAGGGACATGACTAGCTTTAGGTATTTAGGACTTTAGGAAGCCAGCAAATTGAAAGAAAATTAGTAGCTTAACTTAAGCATTTGTTTTGTGTCATATACTGTTCTAAGCAGTTTCCATGCACTAACTAAAGTATGTGAAAGTGTTAGAATTGAGGTTGGTTCATTTCAGCACTCTTAGCCACTGTGCTCTGTGGTGCAGCAGTAGTTCAGTTAGTGTCAAATAAGATCATTGAAGCCCTTCAGAGAGTTGATTATGTTGGAAGAATCTCTTGTCATCTAGCCTATCTTAGGTTTCTTTTGGACATCTATGTACCTGGAACTCCTTCCAGGTGAAGTTGAATGAGGGGTCGGGAGTTGGAGCCCTTTGTTGGAACTCTCTCTAAACATGAGGAAATGGGAGCTTTCAGAATGCATATTTGGATTTGGATTTAGGTGCAGAACAGAAAAATAAGGATTTTGGACATGTCTAGGCTAGTCAGGATTTACTATGGTATTCCTGGCATGCAGTGATATTGTCAGTTTAATATAGATTATTCTGTTTCTACCAAACATAATCCATACTTGAGTATCATCCAGTAATTTTTCCTGTTCTCCCTCTCTGAGCTGCGTGTGCTCTGAGTCTCCCTGTATCTGGTGCCCTCTTTCAGTGATTTTGCCCTCTGATCATTTCTTCAGTTTATTTCACCTTTTATACCAAAGTTTTGAACATGTTTGTACATAAACCAATTCAATGTGAATTTACGCTCCCTTTTTCCACTAGTGCTGAGTCCTATCCCACCCTTATCCCTTCCCCATGCCTCTCCCACCCCACCCCTGTGTCTTTCTGTCCTGTATGAAAAATCAAAGGGAAAAGAGGACTATACACTTATAATTATTTTTATTTGTGGAGATTGGACCTAAAGCCACAATAGGGCCTTAAATACCAGTTCCATTCTATATCTGGTGTGTTCAGACTCACAAGATTTGTTTAATTTATTCCTTTTTAGAAGTCTGGAAAGTTAATGACCTGATAGAGGGAATCCAAGAAAATGAAGATGAACATTCAAGGGAAGTTCTTTATATCAACAGTAGAACCCTGATTGGAGAGAGAGAGAATACATTTGATAAAGCTTCTATGGAACCAAACCTTGCTCCTTCAAGGATAAAATCTCATAATTGTGTCTCATGTGGAAAGAATTTAGAATCTACTTCGGCATTAATTATTAGTGATGGAAGCTATGCAAGAAAGAAACCTGATGAATGTGCTGAATGTGGGAGAACATACTTTGGAAAGAAATCCTATGGATTTAATCAAAGTGGAGAAGGCTATTCTCAAAATGAAGAAAGTCTTCTTCAGAAAATTAATATTTTGGAGAAACCCTTTGAATATAATGAATGCATTGAAGCCTTGGACAATGAAGCTGTTTTTGTTACTCATAAGAGAGCTTATATGGGGGGAAAGCCCTATGAGTGGAATGAGTCTGGGTCAGACTTCATCCAGATCTCAAATTTTAATGTATACCAGAGGTCACAGGTAGAATTGAAGCCCTTTGAATGTAGAGAATGTGGGAAATCCTTCTGCAAGAAGTCAAAATTCATTATACATCAGAGGGCTCACACAGGAGAGAAACCTTACGAATGTAATGTATGTGGGAAATCCTTCAGCCAAAAGGGAACCCTGACTGTACATCGGAGATCACACTTAGAGGAGAAACCCTATAAATGTAACGAGTGTGGGAAAACCTTCTGTCAGAAGTTACATCTCACTCAGCATCTGAGAACTCATTCAGGAGAGAAACCCTATGAATGTAATGAGTGTGGAAAAACCTTCTGCCAAAAGACCCATCTCACCCTACACCAGAGAAATCATTCAGGAGAAAGGCCCTATCCCTGTAATGAATGTGGGAAATCCTTCTCCCGAAAGTCAGCTCTCAGTGACCATCAGAGAACACACACAGGAGAGAAACTTTATAAATGTAATGAATGTGGGAAATCCTACTACCGAAAATCTACCCTCATTACGCATCAGAGAACACACACAGGAGAGAAACCCTATCAGTGTAGTGAATGTGGAAAATTCTTTTCTCGGGTGTCATACCTCACTATACATTATAGAAGCCACTTAGAAGAGAAACCCTATGAATGTAGTGAATGTGGCAAAACCTTCAATTTAAATTCAGCCTTCATTAGACATCGGAAGGTACACACAGATGAGAAACCCCATGAGTGCAGTGAATGTGGAAAGTTCTTTCAGTTCTCATACCTCACTGACCATCCTACAACTCCTCTAGGGGAGAAACCCTACAAATGTAATGAATGTGGGAAAAGTTTCCTTGAAACTTCAGTTTTCAGTGGACACCAGTCACTTCCAAAAGGGGAAAAATCCTATGAGTGTAATATATGTGGGAAATTGTTCTCTGAGTTATCCTACTACACTATACATTATAGAAGCCATTCAGAGGAAAAACCGTATGGATGTAATGAATGTGGGAAAACTTTCTCCCACAATTCATCCCTCTTTAGACATCAAAGAGTACACACAGGAGAGAAACCCTATGAGTGTTATGAATGCGGAAAGTTCTTCTCTCAGAAGTCTTATCTAACTATACACCATCGAATCCATTCAGGAGAGAAGCCCTATAAATGTAGTAAATGTGGAAAAGTTTTCTCTCGGATGTCAAATCTCACTGTACATTATAGAAGCCATTCAGGAGAGAAGCCCTATGAATGTAATGAATGTGGAAAAGTCTTTTCTCAGAAGTCATACCTCACTGTACACTATAGAACTCATTCAGGAGAGAAGCCCTATGAATGTAAGGAATGTGGTAAAAAATTCCACCACAGATCAGCCTTCAATAGCCATCAGAGAATTCATAGGAGAGGGAATATGAATGTACTTGATGTGGAAAATCTCCTGTGAAATGAAGCCTCATTTTAGAAAGCCCTCTGCCCTCTGAATATAGTGAGTATGGAAGTCCAATAGGGAATCAAATACCATTGTTTGAGAATTTATGTTTTTGAATGGGAAAAACATTAAGGCATTAGATTCATTTTAACCTGAGTTTTCACTAGAAGAATCCCTAAGAATGCAACTAGAAGCAAAGCCTTCATCAAAACCCTACAACTCCTTGGATACTAGATAATTTATACAGGAATGAAACTTTATAAATATTTAATATTTATTTTGGATTCAAATTGTATTTGCTTATCAGGGAACCATACCAAGGTGAAATCTATAAAAGTGATGAATGTGGAAAAATATATTGTCTTGCAAATTGTTAAACTAAAAGCCATATTTCTGAAGCAAACTCAAATGTTTATAGGAAAGATACCAGAAACTATTGAGCCCCGAATAAGCTTTCATTGTATAAAATGAAGTTTTCAAATCATCAGGAGTTGATAATGAGGACAATAGCATTAAATATGTATGTATATGGCAGTGTCTATCATGTTTTTAAAATGCAATCTAATTCTATGCAACTCTATGCAAGTTTGGATTTGAATGAGTTGTGAAAAGGCAGTGTTATATGAGTATTAAGATGGGAAGATTTACTAGCAGGATGTATTGTTGGTGAGATGTTTGATAGGTTCAAAATAGTTAAATGCATAATTTTCTATTTAGAGTCATTTACAAATGGGTTCTTATTGAATGTCTCATCAACAGAGGAGCCAGCAATTTTTGTAGCTTTAAATTACATTTGAGCAAAAAAAAAAATTTTTTAACATGCTATTTTCATAAACCATGCATAATTTAGAGTTAAGTCTGTTTCAGTGAAAGAGGACAACTGTATACTGTTCATACTCTATAAAATTTGCCCAGCTCACATACCATGCTGGTTTTTTGATACATAAGTTTGAGAGTGCAGTGTGTCAATATGTACTTCAGAAATTTTACCTGTACCTTTGTTTGATATGAATACAGTGCTGTTATTTTGTGCACTGCCCCTTATTCCCAGTATTTTGGAGCAAATAGAAGTTTTTAGCAGACATTTTTGGTTAACTCAAAATTCAACTTTCTCCCTTATTCCTTCCTGGAAGAGTTTGTGTATCTACCATTTCTTCACATTACACAGAGAATAAATCCTGATTTTGCCAATCATGATAATTCCATTCTAATTGCCCATAACTCATTTGTAGTGGTCACATGACCCAGTCCCGGGCAAACAGAAGAGATGCATTCTGGAAAAGTGATAAAGCAGTGATGAAATGGGTCTTAGTACAGGAATGTGAGTGTTTTAAAAAGCCATGTAATACATCACATGAAGAAAAGTAATCTAGTATGCAAGAAATTAATGTAAAATATGCACCCACTTACATTTTTCACAATGGATCGAAAGGAACTTATTTAGTGGGATAAAGAGCTTAAACTACAACCCACAGCATACCTAATGGTGAAATATTGCAAGTTTTCCCCCAAGATTAAAGAAATAGACAAGGATATCTACTACCAATAATTTTATTCAGTATTGTGTAGGACTTCGCCAGAAAAGGGAAGAGAAAGAATCAAAAGTCATAAAGTTTAAAGAGAATTAAAACTTTCATTTACAGGTGACATGATATTCTACATAGAAAATTCTGAAGAATGTACAGATTAGAATCAATGAGTAAGTTTAGCAAGGTCCCTGAATACATTATTATGCAAAAATGGTTTTTAATATATACCAGCAATGAACAAACATAGAAAATGAACAATTTTAAATAACACAATAGAATCAAAAAGTCCTCAGGTATCTAGGGGTAAAATTATCTAACACAATGTTTTCAAGAACTGTTTCCAGAAGAAAAATAATTACCAAGTTGAGAGGGACATACCTAGTTCATGGATTCCAGGACAATCGTAAAAAGATAACCCATTTCTCCCAAATTTATTCATGTATTCAATTTAATCTTAAAAGTTGTTAGTTGAAAGTTAATTAAGTTAATTAATTGAAATTGAGCTAATTTGAAAATTCAGAAGACCAATAATAGTCACAGCTATCTTCTAGAATAGACAGAATGAGAGAACTTACATTGCTAGATACCCAGCCCTGTTACAAAGCTGTATTATTATAGTGTGGTGTTGGCACAGAAATAAATTGACCAGTGGAAAAAAGATTTCAGAAATGCCCAAACATGATACAGTCACCTTATTTTCTATGAAGATGGTAATGCAGTGTAATTGGAGAAAGGTTGTTCCTTCTAATAAATGCTTTGTCAAGTAAATTTAAAAACTTAATAGAAAATTAAAAAAATCAGTTGAGATAGATTACAGATCTAAATACAAAGTGTAAAATAATAAAGTTATAAGAAGAAATCTTTGGAGACTGTAACAGAGTAAATTTTCTTTAGACACAAAAGCACTAAACCATAAGGTAGAATGTGTTAATTTGGGTATATTATGTTTTAAAACTTCTGTTTATCAAAAAGACACAAGAAGCAAATAGGCAAGCCACAGAGGGGAAAATATACATGCAGTTCACACATATACAGCAGACTTGAGTTGAAGAGGGGTTGGTAACATTTTTGTTCAGGAGCCAGGTAGTATTTTGGGCTTTGTAGCCAGATATTCTCTGTCACTGCGATTCAGCTTTTGCTCTTGTAGTGTGAAAGCCATATACAGTATAGAAACAAATGAACATGGCTATGTACCAGTAAGACTTTATTCAGAAACACAAATGGCAGTCTCTATTTGGCCTGCAAGGCTTGACCAGTGGAACAAAGATTCCAGAAATGCCCAAACATGATACAGTCACCTTATTTTCTATGAAGATGGTAATGCAGTGTAAGTGGAGAAAGGTTAGTCCTTCTAATAAATGCTTTGTCAACTAAATTTAAAAACTTAATAGAAAATAAAAAAAATCGATTGAGATAGATTGCAGATCTAAGTACAAAGTGTAAAATAATAAAGTTGCTGACCCCAGATCTAAAATATAAAAGAAACACCTACAAATCAAGAAAAAAATTGAAAATGGGCAAAAGACCTAGACATTGACTTCACCAAAAAAGAATATCCAGATGCCCAATAACCATAAGAAAAGGTATGTTAATTTACTAGTAGTAAGGAAGATGCAAATTTAAAATACCATATGGTATTACTACCCACCCACTGATGTGGTTAAAATGAAAAGCAGCAAAAAAATCAAGTTTTGGCGAGGATGTAACCAACAGAAAGTCTCCTACCCGGCTGGTGGTACTGCCAATTAATAGACATTTTAGAAAGCTGGGGGTTCAAGTTGAACATGTGTATATCCTTTTAACCGAGACTTAGCACAAATGCACATTTCCACCATGCATGTGTATGTCTACCAAAGGACATGTACTAGAATGTTGATGGCATGAAATGACAAACAGAATTATCCGAAGGCATATATGCAGCAGAATGAGCCTAAGGAGTATGTTTCCATTACAGAATACTGCAATGAGAATGAACACCTAAGTACATTCAGTGACAGCTCAACTTCACAAACTGCTGAGTGAGGAAGTCCAGTCACCAATGTATGATTCCATCTATATAAAGTACAAAAACGGCCAAAACTTGTCTATGCAGTCAGAAATCAGGATAGCCACAGCTGAAAAGGGGTATTTTATCTGGTGCTGGTAATATTATTTCTAAATCTGGGTGCTGAATAGCTTGAATGTTCTGAAAAACTTAATGTGTATTTTTCTGCATGTACATTATTTTTAAAATCCTGTGTGATTTTGTGCAGGAAATTCTCTTTAGAGCAGTTTTAATGGCAACTACTAAAATTTCCTACACTGTGACATGACCTTAAAGCTTACATAATGTATATTTTAAGTAAGATATTTGAAAATGTGGCAGGGCCATTACATATTTTGCCAGCCTACCCTTTTGCAAATATAAACGGGTCTGAACTGCCTCTTCAATAAAGAACTAACGTGTAAACATTTCATATTTTCTCAGACATTGTTTTTCACATTTCTGAATTCAGGATGCAGCTTCGCCATTACCCTATCACAGAAGTGACCTTTCTTTGAGATAATGAAATACAACGGTGAGTTTGGTTTGACGGAAAATTATATTTTAAAAGTTTTCAGTTAGTCCTTTCAGCAAATTTAAGATGCCCAGCTGTTAATAGTCCAGATGTGAGTATAAGACTTTGTACCATAAAAATTGAAAGCACTGGGTGGCCTAGGGAGCGGGGAGGGCTGGCTGAGCTTGTGGCACAGCAAAGACAAATTGGGACGTCGATAGAGCAAACTATGTACTAGGTTTCATTTCACCTTTCTCATGCTAGATTGAGCTTGAAGCGTAAACAGATTAACAATGCCTTGCTTGCTGAGGGAGAAATAACCAAGGAGTTGGGTGGGGCTTGCAAGGTGTGATTCCTCAACCACATTGGCTGCCTGTTTGTTCTCAGTCCACTGGGTTTAACCTACTAGGCCTGTGGCCAAGGAAGGCCACAGCTACTCCTCCCACACTGGCAAGGCCTGCTCCTTTCGGAAGTTGCCCCTCCAGCCCCGAATTTGCTACTGTTCAATTCAGGGTCAGTTAACTTTTCAGATTTTTTCTCTACAGCCTCTTGATATGTCAGAGGACATTAATACAAGACCACTTATCTCTGAGGGCAGAAATTTACCCACTGTTCCTATTCCCTTCCAAATTATGCCCAGATATGTTGTCCAGGCAACTAAGAAAGGGGAAATGTATGACACAATGTCAGACAGTATTACAGTTTTCCCCAAGTTAAATTCTATCAAGGCCACAAAAAAATGCAACAAAAGTGTAATCCCCCCTAATTTCCACAGTGGTAATCATGACAAACATTGCCTTTTACATTAAAGAAATCAAACTCCTTTAGTTCCTGTGGAGTTGGTGGTGAACTGTCTTGAATTACTGACTTGTGAACAAAGCATATGGAGTGAAAATAATGCCACAAACCCTCCTGGGGAAGATAAGACAGTTGCAGTCTCCCAGTGAAGGAAGATGCAGCATCTGGGGATCTGAGATGAGAACTGGGTGCAAATAAATGGCATCTGCTGAGGAAAATTTTGAAAACGTGTTCTTCACATTAGACGAGTCAAATCATTGCCTGACTGACCTGATGGTTCTGTGGGCGGGAGCACAGGCGCTGGGCTCAGCACTACCAAAGAAACCGGGTGTGCCTGCCTGGAGTGAGGGCCTTCAAGTCTGGAGTGCTTCCTCCGTGTCCCCCGAAGCTAAGCTTCGTGACAACAGAAGAAATTCGACATGTTTTCGTGATAATTGCTAGGGAAAGGGAGTCGCGTTGCAACAGTAAGGATTGGGAGCGGCGGACAGACAGTGGTAAGGGAGCCCAGGTTTGCTGTGATGGGTTTTGGGGCATGCGTCCTCCGTAAACCCACACAGAGAAGCAGAAATGTGATTGCCTTCTCCAGCCCAGACTGCAGCTCAGGCGAGAGTTCTGGCAAAAAGACATCTGAGGACTTACGCCATTTTTTTAAAAGAATGAACTGAGCCACCTATGCAATAACATTCTCAAGCAAACGAGTGTATTGGTGACGTAAAGTACAAATAACCAGTTTTTAAAAAGTGGAATATTTAGCATAAACAAATATTCAATAGATGAGGTGAGCCAGGGTGGTTACTAGCTGGGAGACCCTGTGTGGCAGAGCTTTTACAAAAGCTTTCAGAGAGAACAAATAACGTGGGGAAAGGGTAGGAGAGATTTCAACACCAGAAGTCTCCAAAGTGGGGGAAATGCCTGAATGAAGGGGACGAGCGGCGTGTGGTGAAATTGACTTAATTTCATATACTGGATAAAGCCAGACTCTCAAAAGAATACCCGGTGCTCCAAACAGGAAAGATTTGGGAAATTACAGTAAAATTTAAGAATATTAAAGGTGAAATTACGGAAGTTTCTATAAGGACGCAATCACTCAGAACATGACTTCTCATCGTACATTTTTAGCCATTGTGGAGTAACAGGAACCAGATTTACCCTCCTAGTGTTTACGCTAAACAACTAAAAAAATTGGACAAAATGGGTGTAATCATAGCATCGGAACACCGGACGTCTGGCACAGAGTCGCGATCCCTGAGGGAAGGAACACAAAGCGACGCGGTGATTGCCGCAGACACTCTGGAGAGGCTTTCCAGAGCAGGGACCGGAGGGGCGCCCCAGCGAAGCCGGGGGTCCCCCTGAGTTACGAATTCGGGAAGGCGGGCTACTGGGAAGCCCTGGGTGGGGCGCCGACGGGGAGGGCGCGCAGAGCTGCGAGTTCGGGACTCGCGAACGCGCTGGGGCTGCGCTCCTGGGCGGGTCTCCAGGGCCTTGCTACTCGGGGGCGTGGCTCCGGTCCTGGGGGCGTGATCAGTGGGCGGGGACATCACCCAGAAGGCGGTAGAACAATGTTTGGGCGTGGTTACGCCCTAGGGGCGTCTCCATTGTTGCAGGATGGATGGGGCGTAACGGTGGGTGGGCGTGGCCCGGGGCGAGGCGGTACTAGGGCGTGGCTCGGGCTCGCGCTGCCTCCCTACCCGCAGGGCCCTCTGGTCAAGAGCTGTGGGCCCCTAACCACCTCTGGGGAGTCGGAGCCCGGGACAGGCTGTGCGCGACAGAGGGGCGGGTGAAGACCGAGAGCTGGGCGTGAGGTAGGGCCTTGGGGCGGTGGGCCTGGCTCCCGAAGCAGGGCGCGGACAGAAAGGGCATGCTGGGAGCCGGGGCCGCTGCCCCTCGCCGCTCTCCCCTCCAGCCGCCCTGAACGCCCGGCCATGTTGCCGCTGGTCCTCGTGCTGCTCCTGTTCTCTGTCGCCCCCGTCCCCACTGCCACTGCCGCTCCCGTCCCGGATGCCAGCAACAGGGACAGCCTATGGAACCTGCTCCAAGGTCGCAGCCGCCTAGTGTGGGGTTAGGGAGGGGAGGAGGACGGGAAAGGGGAACGGGAGGAGGTCAGAGGGACACAGAGAAGGGCCCAGGGGACGGACGGAGGTACAGCTCGACAGACGAGGGGCAGAAACAGGGAGGAATGGGTACAGAATAGGGACAGAAGGACAGGGACCCATATAAGAACAGAGAATAAAATGCGGGGTGGACTTGACAGAGGCGGAGAGGGAAGGGGGTGGGTCATGGGGCCCGGCCTGGAGCGGCATCCAGCACTCACGGACCCCTTCCTGCGAGCCCCCGAGGACCGGCTGGGGGACAGGCAGAGCGTCCTCGCTGCCTCCCCAGGAACTGCCACCGCACAGACGACCAGGGGCCCTGGCTGGGGAGCAGCACCCTTTCCAGCGAGCACCGGGAAGGCCCTCCTGGAGCCAGCTTGTCTCTTCACCAGGTCCCCGAGCCGGAATAGACAGAAGGCTGTGGGTGGCCCCCAATCTGGGCCCTCACTTTGGCCGTCCTCCTGGGCCGTGAGGCTGCTGTCCGAGCCCGCAGCTTGGAAGCCTGGGAAGTGGAGGAGGAGCATCCGCGACTACAGGCCACAGGTTCCTGAAGGGGTCCGAGCACTGGCAGGGGACACACATGTACCCTCCCCCGGCCCCATCCCCAGCTCCATTTAGAAATAAAGTTCTTTCTTAAAGCCAGGTGTGCTGTTGCCTTTCGGGCCAGTTCCCAACACTTATTCAGCTAAGAACAATTTGTTTACTTTTGCCTGATCCCTTTTACAAGCTCCTGAGTCAGGAACCTGGTACCTAATGGTCACCTCTAGAGAGCATGGCTCACATTTGGTCCTCAAAAATGTTGTAGAGAACAGACGTGTACATAATTGAGTCCACTGTGTGTGTCTGGTGAGTGGAGGGAGCCCTTCCTGATGCTCCAGCCCCAGGCTTCCATGTGGATGTTGCCTAAAGTGGTGGTCACATAGGACTGTTAAACATGCTAGAGGCCTGTTGTATTGATCCTGAGAATTGAAAACAGCACTCACATAGATGGGTGAGTGAGAATAAACGAGTTATTCACAAAAGAGGACACTGGCCCCTATTCAGAGGTAAAGGAGTACTATTTATTAAAATTAAGTTTTGAGGTTAAAGTGATGATGTATTCATCTTTGGCTCTGTTCTGAGTTCTGAGGTCCGGTGTTGACAGCACGGGCATGCCCAGTTATTCTTCAGCCTTTGAGAGTCCTGGACGCTGTCTGGATAGGTCCCTGCTTGATCCAAGCCAGAGGAGCTGGCCTACAGTGACCTCTGTCTTGCGCTGGCTAGGTGGTGAAGCAATGTGGACATAGGGGCATCAAGAAAAAGAGTAGGGGGCTGAGCCAGAAGCCAGAAAGGGCAGGACTATGCAGCAGATCAGGGCTGGCATAAGGCAAAATGTGTGGGGTGCCTGATGAGAAACTAATCTCAGCGTGGGCAAGAGTGGTAGCTGGAGGAGGAACAGGGGCACCAGGGGCCTGGAGCATGCATGCCTAATAGAGATATCAGGCAGCAAGACATGGAGGCCAAATGGTACAGGGAGAGCCTGCAGGAAGTGTTGTCTCTGGGACCCCTGGTTGTTGAAACAATCCAGTGAAATGGCAAATACTTCTCCCAACAGAATGCATACCCAGTAACAGCAGGAGCTGGCATCAGAACCCTCTATATCCTTGGGTCATGTGCCCCAAACTTCCAAACAGATAGGTGGGGGTCCAGTGTCTATGCCAGGACTTTGCTCATGCTGTCCCACTGCCTGCGGAGCTGTTTCTGCCCTCACCTTGTTAGCATTGGAAAGAAGTGAGGCATCATTACAGAGCCTATAAGAAGATTGTATGAACATTCTGTGCCAGCATATTTGAACATCTGACTAAAACAGACTTTCTAGAAAATACAAGTTAATGAAACTGAGACAAGAAACTGAATTTACAGTTAGAAATCTTCCCACCAAGAAATCTACAGGCTCAAATGACCTCACTAGTAAATCCTCCTAAACACTTAAGGAAAATATTAATGGCAATCTCACATAAATTCCTCCAGAGAATAGAAAATGTGTTCGGAAACTAGAATACTGTTGTTGCAAAACCTGGAGAGTACAGCCCTCCCTGTGCCCACCCCCCCACACTATACATGCTAGTCATAATGTCCCCTTCCTGTTTCCCCCCCCTTCTCCCTCCCTTCCCACCCATCCTCCCCAGTTCCTTTCCCTTTGGTAACTCTTAGTCCATTCTTGGGTTCTGTGATTCTGCTGCTGTTTTGTTCCTTCAGTTTTTCCTAAGTTCTTATACTCTACAGATATGTGAAATCATTTGATACTTGTCTTTCTCCACCTGGCTTATTTCACTGAGCATAATACCCTCTACCTCCATCCATGTTGTTGCAAATGGTAGGATTTGTTTTCTTCTTATGGCTGACTAATATTTCATTTTGTATATGCACCACATCTCCTTTATCCATTCATCTACTGATGGACACTTAGGTTGCTTCCATATCTTGGCTATTGTAAATAGTGCTGTGATAAACATAGGGGTGCATATGTCTTTTTCAAACTGGGCTGCCACATTCTTAGGGTAAATTCCTAGGGGTGGAATTCCTGGGTCAAATGTTATGTCTATTTTTAGTTTTTGAGGAACCTCCATACTTCTTTCCACAATGGTTGAACCAGCAGCAGTGTAGGAGGGTTCCCCTTCATTGGCATCCTCACCAGCACTTGTTGTTTGTCTTTTGGATGTTGGTCATCCTAACTGGTGTGAGATGATATCTCATTGTGGTTTTAATTTGCATTCCTCTGATGACTATCAATGTGGTGCATCTTTTCATGTGTCTGTTGGCCATCTGAATTTCTTCTTTAGAGAACTGTCTGTTCAGCTCCTCTGTCCATTTTTTTATTGGATTATTTGCTTTTTGTTTGTTGAGGTGCGTGAGCTCTTTATATATTTTAGATGTCAACCCTTTATCGGATCTGTTATTTATGAATATATTCTCGCATACTGCAGGGTGCCTTTTTGTTCTATTGATGGTGTCCTTTGCTGTACAGAAGCCTCTCAGCTTGATATAGTCCCACTTGTTCATTTTTGCTTTTGTTTCCCTTACCTGGGGAGATATGTTCATGAAGAAGTTGCTCATGTTTGTGTCCAAGAGATTTTGGCCTATGTTTTTTTCTAAAAGTTTTATGGTTTCATGACTTACATTCAGGTCTTTGATCCATTTCAAGTTTACTTTTGTGTATCAGGTTAGACAATGATTCAGTTTCATTCTCTTATGTGTAGCCAACAGTTTTGCCAACACCAGCTGTTGAAGAGGCTGTCATTTCCCCATTGCATGTCCATGGCTCCTTTATCATATATTAATTGACCATATATATTTGGGTTAATATCTGAACTCTCTATTCTGTTCCACCAGTCTGTGGGTCTGTTCTAATGCCAGTACCAAATTGTTTTAATTACTCTGGCTTTGTAGTAGAGCTTGAAGTTGGGAAGCAAGATGTCCCCTGCTTTCTTCTTCCTTCTCAGGATTGCTTTGGCTATTCAGGGTCTTTGGTGGTTCCATGTGAATTTTAAAACTATTTGTTCCAGTTCGTTGAAGAATGCTGTTGGTATTTTGATAGGTATTGCATTGAATCTGTAGATTGCTTTAGGCAGGATGGCCATTTTGACAATATTAATTCTTCCTAGGCAGGAGCATGGGATAGTTTCCATTTGTTAGTGTCCTCTTTAATTTCTCTTAAGAGTGTCTTGTAGTTTTCAGGGTATAGGTCTTTCACATCCTTGGTTAGGTTTATTCCTAGGTATTTTATTCTTTTTGATGCAATTGTGAATGGAATTGTTTTCCTCATTTCTCTTTCTGTTAGTTCATCATTACTGTATAGGAAAACAACAGATTTCTGTGCATTAACTTTGTATCCTGCAACTTTGCTGAATTCAGATATTAGTTCTAGGAATTTTGGAGTGGAGTCTTTAGGGTTTTATGTGTACAATATTATGTCATATGCAAATAGTGACAGTTTGACTTCTTTACCAATCTGGATGCCTTGCATTTCTTTGATTTGTCTGATTGCCATGGCTAGGACCTCCAGTACTATGTTGAATAACAGTGGGGAGAGTGGGCATCTGTCTTGTTCCCGATCTTAGAGGAAAGGCTTTCAGCTTTTCTCTGTTAGGTATGATGTTGGCTGTGGGTTTATCATATATGGCCTTTATGATGTTGAAGTACTTGCCTTCTATACCCATTTTGTTGAGAGTTTTTATCATGAATGGATGTTGAATTTTGTCGAATGCTTTTTTCAGCATCTATGGAGATGATCGTGTGGATTTGGTCCTTTTTTTTGTTGATGTGGTGGATGATGTTGATGGATTTTCAAATGTTGTACCATCCTTGCATCCCTGAGATGAATCCCACTTGATCATGGTGTATGATCTTCTTGATGTATTTTTGAATTCAGTTTGCTAATATTTTGTTGAATATTTTTGCATCTATGTTCATCAGGGATATTGGTCTGTAATTTTCTTTTTTGGTGGGGTCTTTGCCTGGTTTTGGTGGTAGAGTGATGCTGGCTTCATAGAATGGGTTTGGAAGTATTCCCTCCTCTTCTATTTTCTGGAAAACTTTAAGGAGAGTGGGTATTATGTCTTCTCTATATGTTTGATAAAATTCAGCGGTGAATCCATCTTCCCCTGGGGTTTCGTTCTTGGGTAGATTTTTTATTACCGATTCAATTTCGTTGCTGGTAACTGGTCTGTTTAGATTTTCTGTTTCTTCCTTGGTTAGTCTTGGAAGGTTGTATTTTTCAAGGAAGTTGTCCATTTCTTATAGGTTATCCAGTTTGTTAGCATATAGATTCTCATAGTATCCTCTCATAATTCTTTGTATTTCTGTGGGGTCCATCACGATGTTTCCATTCTCATTTCTGATTCTGTTTATGTGGGTAGATTCTCTTTTTCTCTTAATTCTGGCTAAGGGCTTATCTATTTTGTTTATTTTCTCAAAGAACCAGCTCTTGGTTTCATTGATTTTTTTTCTATTCTTTAATTCTTCTCAATTTTATTTATTTATTCTCTGATCTTTATTATGTCCCTCCCTCTGCTGACTTTGGGCCTCATTTGTTGTTCTTTTTCCAATCTCAATAATTGTGACTTTAGACTATTCATTTGGGATTGTTTTTCCTTCTTTAAGTAGGCCTGGATTGCCATAAACTTTCCTCTTAGAACTGCCTTCACTGCATCCCACAGAAGTTGGGGTTTTGTGCTGTTGTTGTCATTTGTCTCCATATATTGCTTGATCTCTATTTTAATTTGATCATTGATCCATTGATTATTTAGGAGCATGTTGTTAAGCCTCTATGTGTTTGAGAGCCATTGTTTTCTTTGTACAATTTATTTCTAGTTCTATACCTTTGTGGTCTGAGAAGTTTGTTGATAGAATTTCAATCTTTTTGAATTTACTGAGGCTCTTTTTGTGGCCTAGTATGTGCTCTCTACTGGAAAATGTTCCATGTGCACTTGAGAAGAATGTGTATCCTGCTGCTTTTGGGTGTAGAGTTCTGTAGATGTCTGTTAGGTCCATCTGTTCTAGTGTGTTGTTCAGTGCCTCTGTGTCCTTACTTATTTTCTGTCTGCTGGATCTGTCCTTTGGAGTGAGTGGTGTGTTGAAGTCTCCTAGAATGAATGCATTGCATTCTATTCCTCCTTTAATTCTGTTAGTATTTGTTTCACATATGTTGGTGCTCCTGTATTTGGTGCATATATATTTATAATGGTTATATCCTCTTGGTGGATTGACCCCTTCATCATTATGTAATGTGCTTCTTCATCTCTTGTTACTTTCTTTGTTTTGAAGTCTATTTTGTCTGATACAAGTATTACAACAACTGCTTTTTCTCCCTATTGTTTGCATGAAGTATCTTTTTCCATCCCTTGACTTTTAGACTGTGTGTATCTTTGGATTTGAGGTGAGTCTCTTGTAAGCAGCATATAGATGGGTCTTGCTATTTTATCCATTTGATTACTCTGTGTCTTTTGATTGGTGCATTCAGTCCACTTACATTTAGGGTGATTATTGAAAGATATACATACTTATTGCCATTGCAGGCTTTAGATTTGTGGTTACCAAAGGTTCAAGGGTAGCTTCTTTACTATTTAACCATCTAACTTAACTCACTTATTAAGCTATTATAAACACAGTCTGATGATTCTTTATTTCCCTCCCTTCTTATTCCTCCTCCTCCATTCTTTATATGTTACGTGTTTTATTCTGTACTCTTTTGTGTTTCCTTTGACTGCTTTTGTGAATAGTTGATTTTATTTTTTGCCTTTAGTTAGTATTTGGTTGGTCTGCTTTCTTTGGTGTGATTTCATTTTCTCTGGTGACATCTATTTAGCCTTAGGAGTCCTTCCATCTAGAGCAGTCCCTTTAAAATATCCTGTAGAGGTGGTTTGTGGGAAGCAAATTCCCTCAACTTTTGCTTGTCTGTGAATTGTTTAATCCCTCCTTCATATTTAAATGATAATCATGTTGGATACAGTATTCTTGGTTCAAGGCCCTTCTGTTTCATTGCATTAAATATATCATGCTATTCTCTTCTGACCTGTAAGGTTTATTTGAGAAGTCTGATGATAGCCTGATGGTTTTTCCTTTGGAGGTGACCTTTTTTCCTCTCTCTGTCTGCCTTTAATACTCTGTCCTTGTCCTTGATCTTTGCTATTTCAATTAGTGTATGTCTTGGTGTTATCCTCCTTGGGTCCCTTGTATTGGGAGATCTGTGGGCTTCCATGGTCTGAGAGATTATTTCCTCCCCCAGTTTGGGCAAGTTTTCAGCAATTATTTCTTCAAATACACTTTCTATCCCTTTTTCTCTCTCTTCTTCTTCTGGTACCCCTATAATGCAAATATTGTTCCATCTGGATTGGTCACACAGTTCTCTTAATATTCTTTCATTCCTGGAGATCCTTTTATCTCTCTCTGCTTCTCTGTATTCCTGTTCTCTGATTTCTATTCCATTAACGGTCTCTTGCACCCTCATCCAGTCTGCTCTTAAGTCCTTCCAGAGATTGTTTTATTTCTGTATTCTCCCTCCTGACTTGATCCCTTCACTCTGGCATATTTCTCTGCAGGTCCATCAGCATGGTTATGATCTTTATTTTAAATTATTTTTCAGGAAGATTCATTAAATCTATCTCCCCAGGCTCTCTCTCGTGGGTTGTCTGGGTAATTCTGGACTGGACCAAATTCTTCTGCCTTTTCATGGTGCTAGAGGTAGTCACAGGCAGGTTGCATGTGTATCAGCTGGGAGAACAAAGTCCCCTCCTGCTTGCTCTTCACCTTGCCCTTCTCCACTGCCTGTGTCAGTTACCCACACCCCAGGAGCAGTGTCCCAGTCAATCCCCTGAGCTGCTGTGGATGGGGTAGCCTTTGGGGCAGCCCAGAGCCCTGCAGAGAGTGGCTAGCGTGACTGCTGTGCTCTCCTGTGAGAACGGCGCCCCTTCATGCCTTGTCCTGGCCTCCTCTGCCTGCACCAGGCCGCTACGTGCCAGCGGTGGCCTCTGGGTCTGGCCCAGGTGGCTGCATGCCGGGAGGAGACTCTGGGCGGTTGCTGTGGGTGCAGCCGCTCTCCAGCTTCTCAGCCACTATGGCGGGGTCATGCCAGCTGGGGGAATGAATGGCAGGGTGCTTATCACTGTGAGGGGCTTCGGGGTTGCATTGCCACCCAGGGGGTTGGGGCACTTGAAGTTCCTCAGGATTCCCAGCCTGCTAGGCTGAGTGTGCTGGGACGATTCTGTCCAGCTGTGAGGCTCTTATCCCTTTAAGACTTTCAAAAAGCATGTGCTTTTTTTCCCCCCCCAGGGGAGCCGGCTTCAGGGACCCACTCGCAGATTTTACTTTTCCATTTCCCTAATATCTAGCACACCATGCAATGTGTGTCTGCGCTCCCAGTGCGGATTACTAGGGCTGGTTATTTAGCAGTCCTGCACTCCCACTCCCTCCCCACTCCAACTCCTTTCCTCCCACTGGTGAGCTGGGGTTGGGGGAGTGCTTGGATCCCGCTGGGCCGTGGCTTGTATCTTACCCCCTTCGTGAGATGCCAAGTTCTCACAGATGTAGATGCAGCCTGGCTGTTGTACTGTATCTTCTGGTCTCTATTTTAGGAATAGTTGTATTTGTTGTATTTTCAAAAATATATATGGTTTTGGGAGATTTCTGCTGCCCTACTCATGGTGCCATCTTGGCTCCTCCTCTCCCTGGCAATAGACAAATTTACAGTGCCACTTACTGAAATGCCAGTCAGAAATCTGGTGGAGATTAATAGACTGATAATAGATACATACATACACACAGGCATACATAATTTCTCTCACAGCAAACATGCAGAAAATATTTCTTCTCCTTCATTTTAAAGGTGAACTCTCTCCCTGGGTTCTTTTAAAAGATTTTGTGTTTTGGGCCTCTGCCTGCATTTCTGTGGCTGTGAGCAATAGCTTGGAGCTAGTAGGAAACAACCTCCACAGCCAGCAGAACCTTTTTCTCTCTCTGCTGTACACAGTCTTTAAAAATACTTTGAATCAAGATGCATAAAGTTTCTAGTTTATTTATTTACTGAGATATAATTGACACATTAGTTTCAGGTATACAACAATAACCTGTATACATCACAAAATGAACACCACAATAGGTCTTGGTAACAACTGTCACCACACAGTTCACAGAATTTTTTCATTTTTTTCTTGTGATGAGGACTTTTACAATTTACTCCCTTAGCAACTTTCAAATATGCAGACAGTCTCCAGTTTCAGATTCTCTCTCATCCCTCGCTGATTTGATCTTACAGATTGTTAGTGAAAAGATACGTGATGGGCACCTGGCAGCCAGACAGGTAGGCGGCCACTTCCCTCTCCTGGTGTCCCAGGCCACCTTGCCAGCATTAGGGTTGTTTCGCTAGGACAGTGGCAGCAGGGTTGCTGGCTGGCCCCCAGGCCCCCAGAGCATGTCTGTGCCTGTAGCCCTGAGCACCCCCCCAGGTGCTTCCACTGGCTTTCCATTTAGCTGGGAGCTTGTTAGCTCTCTAGGTGTTGCAGGTGGCACTGGCACCAGGTGCTCAGACCATCGCGTCATGCCATTAGGTCTTGCTCCACCATGTGCCAGGGGTGGGACCCACACTATCTGATGGGGTTGGGTTTGAGAAGCACCAGCAGCAAGGTGTATAGTGACAGGGAGACTGCAGGCCCCCACTGCATTTTGGGGAGCCATGCCTTCCCTAAGTGAGGTGTCCCTGCAGCTCCAGCTGGGCCTTGGGAGTCCCAAGCGTGGCATCCACAGCACAGTGACCAGGGGAGCCTCCCTGTCCTCCTTCTAAGAGCAGCAGTGGCCAATTCTGGCAGCTGGCACCTGGGCTGGTGCTTGCACTGGCAAAACACACCCCTGACATCTAACCTCTGGGAGAGTCACCCTCTGTGGAGTGTTAGCAGGCAGAGGGTGGCCCCACAGGCCCTCAATCCAGCTCCCACGGGCAGTGCTCCAGGGCCCAGGGACTGGGTGCTTCTTTCGGAGCTTGCACTCGGGGAAGGGAAGAGCAGCAGTGTTCCACTAGGCAGTAGCCCTATTGCAAACCAGCATCCACCAACACCAGTAAGTGCTGGGGGCTCCCAGAAAGAAGCCCCCACCCGGGAGCCCGGCAGCCAGTTCCTTGCAGCTGAAAGGCATTACCGTGATGAGTTGCAAACTGGACTCTACCATCCCATTACTGTGGCCAATTGTCATGACTTTGTTAAATTAACATTTGTTAAGTGGAACACAGGTGCCAGATAGTGAGAAGGTTCAACAACACAAAATAAATAGAGATGGAGAAGTTTGTTACTCACAGGGCCTAGACGTAGTACAGCTGGCCTGGAGGGGCCTCACAGGGAAGTTGAGGCAGAGTGACAGAGATTGGACTTGGGGCACATGCATATATTAGGGTCCTTGCGAGGAATGCTTTAGGGCTCCTGGCTAGGGCCAGACTGGTCAATCAAACCAAAAGAGCAGGTTTTTGGTAAATGCCATGGGGGCTTAGCTAAGGGGCAGATAAGGCATTCGGGTGCTGGGAGGCAGGGGAGGCTCTAGCACAGGGACCCTGGAGAAGGCACATCGGGAGCTTTGTTTGCTTGCAGCTCTGTGGCTGCTGTCTAGAGCCTGAACTTGCACCAGGGGCTGGTGTCAGCTTCAGGTCCCTGCAGGTCAATGGCCAGACAAAACAGGTATAGAGGCAGCAGTACCGTGGAGTAGTTAGCTAAACTCTCCACATATCTAGATGTGAAAAAAAAAATTTTTATGTATCCAATGTGGATAAAATGAAAGTTCCTGTGGCCAGGATTCTCACCTGGCCCTGGTTGGCTAGCTCACTACACACATGTGGGCAATACGTTGCTATTGACTCTATATAAAGAGCTCTGCCAGTGTTCTGGGTGACACAGTGACATGACTGCAAGGCTGCAGGAGAGCAAGGCAGAGGCTGGAGTGGTGGCAGCACCAAGGACAGAGATTGGGACGGCTGTGCAGGCCGAGAGGCCTAGAGACAGAGACCAGCTTGCTGCATGCAGACTCGCTCTAAGTGAATGGGTTTTTATTGATTGACCTGCCACCGTGGGATAAAGTTGGGAATAATCCTTTCATCCCAAGAACATTTTACTATCATTTCTTTGGTCACACGGAATTCATAGCAAACTTTCCCAGGGCAGAAACCCATTGGCAAGACATACAGCTAGGCATATATTGTTCAGCTTAAGTCTGTTAACACATCTTTTGTCAGAATCTGAGCCATATCTTTGAATGCTTGCTTTTCTTCCCCGTCCTGTATTTTGTTCTTTAGGAACTCGTTTGCTCTTTTCATTTTAATCTTTTGTCTCTCACCCATCCCTCCACATTTTCCATCTCTCTGTACACCTAATTCTGTGAATCTGCTTAGCACTATTTTCCTCTCTGCTCTCTCTTCAGCTGAGTATAATCTACCATTTGACCTGATCACCAAGTATTTTAACGTCAAGCTTTAAATTTCAATAACTATATTTTTCATCTCTAGATATTCTATGTGGTTCTTTCCAAGTAAAACCAGTTTTTTGTTGTCATTATTAAGAAAGAAAGATTTTTTTTAAAGTATTTTTGTGGAATTACCTACAGTAATTTTTCTAGTACCTAAAATACCTGGAGCTCTTCATTAAAATGTCTGCTTCCATCATGGATTGGCTCCCCACATTTTGTAATTCTGGATTAGGAACTCAGCATGGGCTTGTATGTCAGAGTCCTGACAAACAGGGGTTGAGGGTGTCTTCCTTCACCCTCAAAATATTCTGTTTGTTCCTGTAAGTTGTTTCAAAGACCAGAACAAATTTCTATGTGAATTGTTCAGTTTTTGAACTGAGACATGAATAGGCCGAATTCCAAATTCTAACTCCTCTGAGATGTTAGTCATGAGGACTCATGACTCATCGGGGTTAACTATTTTCTCCAGCACAGCCCAACAAGAGACCCATAAATTTCCTGTGCCAGTGAGATTTTTCTCCAGCCCACTGTTTCCCTTTTGGAGTTTCTGAATTTGTAAGTTACTTCAGTGCCAACTCTATACCTTGTGTGAAGGCCGAGGCCTTGTTTCTCAAGCTCCTATAGTCCTGAAACCCAAGCTTCTGGGTAAACCAAATCAAACCCACAGGGCAACTACAGCATCAACTCAGAAACTGATTTCTGGGTTTAAGTTCCCTCTACCCAGCTGGCACCTGGTAACTTCATTTATTTTCTTGCAAGCCAAATTATGCATTTAAAAGAACATTACCTGTTACTGTTCATCATTTCTAGTTGTTTTCAGTGGAATGTTTTTCACTTTAGATAGTCTGCCGTGTTTAACATTTAACATAAAACAAAACTTACAGACCAGTCGATTGAGAGATATCAGAAGATGAGATGAAATTGTTGGTTTCCAGATCCAGGGGGTTCTGGAACACATGCAGGCAAGCAAAAAGACAATGGTATGTGATATGATACATGGACTTCTGGTTTAATAATAAGTTCATATTGTTCCAATAATAATGTATATTACAAGACAGAGTATGATTTAGTGTGCATGTCATTCTGTATTTTAGGATGTGTTTGTCTACAAGTTCACAGTTATGTTCAATTACCAGGGCAGCTAAAAAAATTAATGAAATTCATTTCATGTAGCATCCTCAGTGACAGAACCAATGAAACCACAGGATTGTTCTGATGCTTATTAGATTTGTTGTCTCAATGAGGTAAACTTATTCACATATTTAAAGCTTAATATCGACAGTTCCTTTGGACAGATACACTTTATAATTAAGTAAAGACTATAAAAATATATCATTCTAGGGCATCATCAACAATCCTACCACCAGACTTAAGAGAACAAAGTTCTCCCAATTCTCCAAACTGGTAAGATTTCACCTTAGTATGAATCTCTGTGTCCAGTGGCCCTGGGCTTCTTGCTGAAGGATTTTCCACATTCAGAATATCCAGAGGTTTTCATTCCTAGACATGCTGTGGCTTCTGGATGAAACCTTCCCTCTCATTTCACCCATAGAGCTTTTCCCTGGTGTGAATTCTGTGGTGTCTGATGAGGTTGGCCTTCTGAGAGAAGGTCTTCCCGCAGTCGGAGCACTCGTAGGGCTTCCTCCCCATATGGGTCCTCTTGTGAATGATAAGGCATGAGTTCTGGGAGAAGGCCTTCCCACACTCGCTGCACCCATAGGGCTTCTCCCCGGTGTGCGTCCTCTGATGGAGGATGAGGTGTGACTTCTGGAAAAAGGCCTTCCCGCACTCGCTGCACCTGTAGGGCTTCTCCCCGGTGTGGATTCTATGATGGATAATGAGGCAGGACTTCCTGGAGAAAGACTTCCCACATTCTTTGCAGCCATAGGGTTTCTCCCCTGTGTGAGATCTGTGGTGTTCCATGAGGCGGGACCTGTGGGAGAAGGTTTTCTCACACTCTGAACACTTGTAAGGCTTCTCTCCAGCAAGAGCTGCCTCAGGAATGGACAGGCTTGTCTTCTGGGAGAGGGTTTTACCACGACTGCCCTTCCCACCGGGCTGCTCTTTTGTACGGTTTCCCTGACGTCCACTGAGGTAATCCTTGTCCCGCAGGCCACCCCACCGTCCACCTCTTCTGAAGGATTTCTCACCCCTGTGGACTCTCCCGTGTGTAATGAGTTCTGATTTGTGGTCAAAGCCTTTCCCACATTTGGTACATGCCTGGGGCTTCTCACCCCTGTCAGCTCCCTGATCAGCATTAAAGGCTTGGCTACAGCTAAACACTTTTCTACATTGGCTACATTCACGTAGATAAACCCCAGAAGGTGGAGTTTCAAGCTTGGAATAAAGGAATAATTTCCCCTGTCCATCACACTCAAATCTCCTTCTGGCAAGATATGCATTAGGACTAAAGTTTGTGTCACACTGCAAACGCGTCCCACAGGAGTCGCACCAATGGACCTGCCGTCCTGAGGGAACAAGGTTTGTGTTCTGACAGGTGTTTTTTCCAACTGTATTATGTTCCCAGCACCCTGGGTTGGTGAATTCCTTCTTCTCTAGGAATGCAACTTGCCTCAAAGGTTTGTCTGGGTGTTCCTGTTGTCTGGCTGCTTGGGTGTCGACCTGCAAAACCTCTAGGAAAACAATAGGACACAAACTTGTTAATCTTCTAGGATCAGATCATAGAACTAAATTAGTTCAGAAATGACTGGAAAGAGGATTAACTGCAGTCACAAACCTCACTGCCCAGCTTAACCCTGGTCCTGCTACAAATACTTTCTAGCCCCTTGGCTTTTCAAAGGGAAAAAATGAGACCCTGAAAATAGGGATGCAACAATGCCCAGCTTAACCCTGGTCCTGCTACAAATACTTTCTAGCCCCTTGGCTTTTCAAAGGGAAAAAATGAGACCCTGAAAATAGGGATGCAACATTGACAATGAATATAAGTAGTTTGTTGATAACAAGTTTGACATGGTAAATTGGGAAGAAGGTGGAAACACACACGGGTAAAAGTGGGTGACAGAGAAGACATGAGAGGGAATGGAGTCCAGGCACTGATGTGCTGAAGACTGAAGACACGGCAGGAGGTCCCGTCAGGTGATGAGCATATTTAGGAACGTTGAGCAGTGACTGAAGAAAGAAAGGTTAGGGTTTCTGGAGGAATCGGGAGAAAAGGGGGTTGAGGAAATACAAGCAAAGGACTAGGTTGAAAGAAGCGAAACTGTGTGTGAGTTCCCCTCACTTTAACCCTGGCCACAAACAGGCTACTTGCTGACCTGCATTTCCTGGGTCCTCCCCCACCAAGCTCCCCTTGTTCAGCACACCAAAATGACTTTATCAAAGCATCGAGCCCCTTGTTGCTAAAGGAATTGTCTTAGAGCCAAAGGTCCCTTCCACAGTGATTTATTCTCACGTGGGCCTACACACCCTTTCCAAAGTCCCGGACAAGGACACAGGAGCAGTCCCCTGGCCTGGAATGCAGGCCATCCTTGCCCCAGGAAGCTTCCCTGCTGTGTCAATCAGAACTGCTTGAATGACCATTTTCAGCAGTCATGGCTCCTTGGTACCAAACCTGGCTGACTACCAAATCCTCTGACACCTCTACCCAACAGGACCACAGCATGCCTTTGTTTAGAATGTTTAAGGTCCCTGAGCCCCATTACTGAATTTCAAGAGACAAAACCAATGCCTACTTATCTTCCCCATCAGGATTGTCTTGGTTGGGATCCAGCCAGGAGGGTATTTCTAAAGCTGCCCAGGTGGTTCTGGTGTGTACCCCTGATTAAGCATGAGTGCCCCAAGCAAAAGCAGTCAAGGATCCTTGTCCTAGAAGGAAGAAGGACTCAGCATCCACTATGCGCATCCCACAGAAATAAGGATGAATAAAATAAAGGCTCTTGTCTGCAGGGGATTACATTGGGATGGGGGAAATGCTTCAGTGAAAACCTATCAGGCAAAATGGGTCCATATTACATGGTTTGAAGAAGAAGAATTTAAAATCATAGAAAAGGTAGCCAACTTTTAAAGACATTTCATAGTGAAAGAAAGAAAAGACAACTGAAATAAAAATGGGTGGCACAAGATAATACTGTTATTTTAAAACAGGGCAAATCGACAAATCTCTAAAAGCATGAGAAAGCCTATTTCATAACCATGGGGGAAAGTGTAAGGCTAAAGATTCTAGAGAAAGACTGAGCAAGGAAGGTCTTAGATGGGGATGGTAGGAGAGAATAAAAGGATAAGTAAAAATAGAACATGTCTTTTTCTAAAACCCAGGAAAAGGGGAGTAATTCATGTAGTGATGTGAATATGTGCAGGTGGCCGGAATCATCTGGGCCCCAGGCCAACTGTCCCCACAGATCCAAGGCTTTTAAAAACAGTTGCCTGACACCAAAAACACCCAAGGTTCTGCTTTGTGATGTCCACTGTCCCCCTGCAAGCGGGTTCTGTCTCACCTGGAAAGCTCCATCTGAGGATTTCTTCCTCCCCCATCCATGGTTCTTGCCCCTGCTCCAACCTGGAGATCACAGCTGGTTTGGTGACTAGACATCCTGTTCACGAGAAATAGTTGCAGGATTTATGCTGAGCCACCTGGGCCTTCAAAGGGAGCAGAAGGTTCAGGCTGCACAATGAACATGTCTATATTGGCCAAATAATAGGTATTTCACTTGGGAGGTGACTCCACAGTCACATTGTCCTATGAGACCAGAGCAAGACCTGCTGATGATGGAAACCCAATGCTAAATGCTTTCAGTACATACACAAGAGGTTCTACATAACAGAGAAAAGTAGGGGCTTAGACATCACTGGGGAACCCGGGAAGCCTTCCTCACCCAAGGAGACCAGGTGGCTGTAGTTTTCCAGCATCACATCTCGGTACAGGGTCCTCTGCGTTGGATCCAGCCGCTGCCATTCCTCATGGGTGAAGCCCACAGCCACGTCTCTGAATGACAATGACCCCTGGAACAGCACATCCCTGATTAATCTGGGGGCTTGGCAGGGTACTGTGGCAAATGTGCAGAGGAGGTGGGTCTTACCACCTTTGGAGGTCAGGTTTCCCCATGTTAAGCTACATAGGAAGCTTAGCATGCCCTTAACTTCATACATTTTGTGGGAGAGAGAGAAAAAAAAATCTCACTTCTGGATCTCATTCATTCATTCAGTGAGCAAGCATCTACTGAGGATTCAGTATGTTACTGGCATTCCTGGTGCTTGGGGTTGAAAGCTTAATGCAACACCACTCCTGTTCTAAAGGTGTTTAGGGTCTGGTGGAGTGAGATTAACATAAAAGACTTCTGTGTCATATGATTACACCTAAGGCTGTGATGGAAGTACATTTCAGCACAGAACAGACACAAAGAAGAGAGCAAACTTAATGCCCCAATGCCAAGGTAAGCTTCATTTGTGCTTGAGCAGAGTCTCGAAAGAGAAATGGTGTTTTGATGTCTGAAGGAGAGTTCCATCATGAGGCATGGCATGTGCAAAGGCACGGAGTCCCAGAAAAATCAGGTAACTGCAAATAGTTGGGAATGACAGTATAGATTATAAGGGGTGTGTGTGTGTGTGCACATGCATGCGTGTGAGAGCGAGACAGAGACCAGAGCGAGACAGAGACCAGACCATAGGACAAATGAAGGGTTTTCCCTACAGGCAATGGGCGCTCCATCACAGTATTTAAGGACAGAAGCTACAAAAGATGGTCTGATATAGAGGAAAGGTGACATCACTGGGAGGGAATAAGTAAAATTCAGGTGCAATCACTGACATGAGATATGGTCAAAATTAAGGCAGTATCAAGAGGAAATCAGAGATTCCACATGCACAGGACAGGGATTGGCTCTCCTTCCCCTACTCCCTTATCTTCTCTCTCTGAATGAATTAAGGACCAAAATAAAAAGTTTAATGTATACAGAATGTTGTAATACTATAATGTTGGTGTAAATAATTTTTAACACCAGTGTAGAAGTTAAAAGACAAACATAAGATTAACTATACTGACAGATTCATTCATGGAAATACAACATAAAAGGAAGTAAAATCTGTCATAAATAATGTGTGTGTTGAGGGGAGGTAAAAATGTAGTTTCTGTATGCGATTGAAGCTTAGTTGTTATCAGGTGAAAATAGGATGTTGTAAAAATAAAATATTACATGCAAGCTTCATGGAAACCACACACATAGACCCAAATACAAAGAGAAAAGAATCAAACCATATCTCTACAAAAAAACCCTCAAACTACAATAAAGACAAGAGAGGAACAAAAGAACTACAAAACAGAAAACAACAAAATGGCAAGAGTTAGTCCCTGCCTATCAATAATTACTTTAAATGATTGTAAAAAAAGTAAATGAACTAAACTCCCCAAATTAAAACAAATAATATAGCCAAATGGATAAAAAACAAGATCCAATTGCATGCTGTCTACAAGAGATTCACTCTAGATTTAAGGACACAGATGGGATGAAAATGAAGGGGTGGAGAAAGATAGTCCATGCAAATGATAATCAAAAGAGAGCTGGTATGGCTATTCTTTTATCAGACAAAATAGACTTTAAGTCAAAACCTGTCACAAGAGACAAAGAAAGTCAAGGTTCCACTTAACAGGAAAATGCATCAAAGCACCTAAATACACAAAGCAAACATTGACAAATCAGAGAGGAGAATAGATAGCAATACATAGTAGGAGAATCAAAACCCTGCTCTTGATAATGGATAGATCAGCCAGACAGAAAATCAATACAGAAACAGAACTGAACAACACTATAGATCAAACAGCCCTAAAATATAATATACAATATTCCACCCAAGAGCAGCATAATACTCATTCTTCTCAAGAGCATGCAGAACAATCTCTGGAATGGATCATATGCCAAGTCACAAAACAAATCTTAACAAATTTAAAAAGACTGAAATCATTCCAAGTATCTTTTCTGATCACAATGGAAAACCAGAAATCAATAATAGAAAGAAAACAGGAAAATTAAAAAAGTATGTGGAAGTCAAACAACACACCTTTAAACACCACTGGGTCAATGAAGAAATAAAAAAGAAAATTATAAAATACCTAAGACAAAGAAAAACAAAACCCACAACAGACCAAAACTTACAAGATGCAACCAAAGCAGTACTAAGAGGGAAGTTTATAGCAAAAACACCTACAGAAAAAAAGAAGATCTCAAATAAACAACCTAACTGCACTTCTAAAAAAAAGAGCAAACTAAGCCCAAATTAGCAGGAGAGGAAATAATAAAGATTAGTGCAGAAATAAATAAAATGCAGAATAGAAAAATAATAGAAAAGAATCAACAAAACTGAGAGTTGGTTTTCTGAGAAGATAAAATCAACAAACCCTTAGGTAGGCTGAAGAGAGAAGATTGGAATAAATAAAATCAGAAATGTCATAGAAATAAAAACAATTAAGAAGGGCCATTATGAATAATTACAAGCCAATAAATTAGACAACTTAGTAGAAACTGATACATCCTAAAATAAAATACAACCTACCAATACTCAATCAAGAAGAAATAGAAAGCCTGAATGGACCAGGCACAAAGAGAATGAAAAAGTAACCAAAAAATTTCCAATCAAGAAATGCCCAGCACCTTCATGAATTAATTCTACCAAAAATTTGAAGAATTAATACCAATCTTTCTTAAACTCTTTAAAAAAAAAAAAAGAAGAGGGGACACTTCCAAACTCAATCTACGAGGCCAGAATCACCCTGATACCAAAACCAGACAAAGACACCACAAAAAAAGAAAACTACAGGCCAATATCCCAATAAACACAGATGCAAAAACCCTCAGCACATTAAAATAGGATTTATCCCTGGGATGCAAGGATGGTTCAACAACCAAAAATCAATGTGATACAGCACATTAACAGGACAGATAAAAATCAAATAATCATCTCAACAGATGCATAAAAAGCATTTGACAAAGTTCAATACCCTTTCATGATAAAAACTCAACAAATTAGGTGTAGTAGGAATTTACCTCAACACAATAAAGGGCATTTATAAAAAGCCCACAGCTTTCAATGTGTAAAGCTTAAAGCTTTCTCTCTAAGGCCTGGAACAAGGCAAGGATGCCCATTCTTGCCTCTCCTATTCAACACAGTATTGGAAGTCCAGCCAGAGCAATTAGGCAATAAGAAGAAATAGAAGGCATCATAATCAGGAAGAAGTAAATGTATCTCTGTTTGCAGATGATGTGATCTTACTGAGTGCAGGATCTCAAAGAAATATCTGTACAACCATGTTCCTTGCAACATTATTCACAATAGCCGAGAGATGGAAACAACCTACGTGTCCATCAATGGATGAAGAAAATGTGATATATACACACAGGGAATATTAGCCACAAGAATAAAATTTGCAACAAACATGAATGGACCTGGAGGACACAATGCTCCATGAAATAAGCCAGACACAGAAGGACAAATACTACATGATCCCACTTTCATGAGGAATCTAAAACAAACTTATAGAACTAAAGAGTAGCATGGTGGTTACCAGGGGCTGGGAGGAGGTGAACAATAGGATGATGTTAGTCAGAGGGGTCAAAGTTCCAGATATGGAAGATGAACAAGTCCTGGAGGTCTGCTGTACAGCTTGATGCCTATAGTTAACACTGCATGGTATGCTTAAAAGTTTGCTAAGAGGGTAGACTTTATATTAAACACTCTTACTACAAATATATATAAATGATACATATACACTATATATTTAAATGTATATTACATACATATACTTAAGAAGGGAGGTGGGAGGACACTTGTGGAGGTGATGGATAAGTTTAAGACCTTGATCGTGGTGAAGATTTCATCTCTAAATTCATCAGGCTGTATATGGGCACACTTTGGAAATAGTGCGGGTTTGATCCCAGACCACTGCAATAAAGCGAATAGTGCAATAAAGCGACGCAAATAAATTTTTTGGTTTCCCAGTGCATATAAAAGTTACCTTTACACTACACTGTAGTCTGTTAAGTGTGTAGCATTGTATCTAAAAGAAGCTCACCATTATCTGAGCTCTCAGCAAGCCCTGATCACTGATCACAGGCACTGCACAAAATACAGTAATAATGAGAAAGTGTCAAGTATCATGAGGATTACCAAAATGTGACACAGAGGCACAAAGTGAGCAAATGCTGGAAAAATGTCACCAACAGACTTGCTTGATTCAGGGTTGCCACAAACCTTCAATTTGTAAAAAATGCAATATCTGCAAAGTGCAATAAAACGAGGTATGGCTGGACCTTAAACATGTAGATTTTTTCATGTCAATCATACCTCAATAAAGCGGCTAAAAAAATTAAATTTTTAGTAATCACATTTTTGAAAGTTAAAGAAAGTGAATTTAGTATCTTAACCAAATACATCCAAAATATCATTTCAACATATAATCATTATTTTTAAATCAGTGATATATTCATTCTATTTTTATAGCACATCTTCAAAACCTGGTGTGTATTTTCCACTTACAGTACACTTCAATTCAGACACTGTATTTCCAATTTCACTTTGGTGAAATGTAGTCCTATAAAAACAATAAAGTGTTTAATGGAAAAATATTTTGCTCCGGTTATTTTAGAATTTAAATATCTATTAAAACTGCAGGCCCACAGTCACATTAACCACACTTCGGGTGCTCAGCATTGGCCCATGGCCGACGGCTACCATACTGGACAGGGCAGGTCTAGACAGCATGAACACCACTGGGCTCCTTTGCTGGGGGTCTGGTATTGATAGAACCACAGTGTAGTTCAATCATTACGGGCCCAGTTCTACATCTGTCTGTCTACACTCAAATCCCAACTCCATATCAGAAATGTAAGATCTCAGGCAATGTGTTTAGTATCTCCAGCTTTTCTGTAAAACAAGAGAAGGGCATCTGATAATAGCCATCTCACAGGTTTATTCATGAAGTCATATATGAGAAACAAGAGACCAGCACATACATGCTCAACAGGAGCTGCATTACTGTCAGCAACTGTATTGCAGGGAACTCTAGCAGGGAGGTTCCCCACACCTGCCCCAAGACACCGAATGAAACTGGCCTCACATACAAGTCGGAGGGGCCAGGGCCAGCTCTCTCCTCTAAGAAGGCTGTGGAGTCACCACCTTGCTCTCAATCTCTCATACTGGTCCTGTGCCCAGATATTTCTGGCATCAAACGTCCACAGAGTCCTGGCTTTATTAAGCACAGACACTCCTGTCAAGACAGGTCCCTGAGCTAGAAGCAAGAACCTGTCAATGCTCTTCTTCTTGGAGTGGACAGCTGTAACCATTGTCCACCAGGCCTGTCCTCCTCTGGGACCAACTCCCAGCCCCCTCTCCCAGGCACCTGCTCCTGGGAGCACCCCACCACAGCACCATCCCCTGAGCCTAAGCCTGAACTAAGCTGGACCAATGGAACCTCACCAAAGATCTTGCAAACTGGTTGTAGGAAAGGAGCCTTGGTCCCTTTCCACAGCAAAACTTGTAAGGGTGAGGCTTGGGAGCTGACAGTCATCCTATCTCCAATCACATGGATGAAGTCAGCATGAGAGAAGAAAGTCACAGAAACAGGGCCAAGGGACAAAAAGATGCGTGGTGTGGAACTGTCTTGAGTCCTGGCTGCAGACCTGCTCTTCCCACAGCTCTGGGTGCTGCCTGGCTTCTGGGTTTGTCCCAATCTAGTTCCACCTGGGTTTCTAGCTCTTGTAACTTCAAGGATTCTGAACAGCACACTTCCTGTTCATGCATCCCTAGAGCTCAGGGCAAAGAGAGAGGCCCTTTAGGAGTAGAGGGATCTGTGGATATGGACCAGCTGACGGAAAGCAACGTCACTAAGGTCTGAGAAAAGTAATGATGACCCAGTGAGAAAAGGTGCAAAGGAGGAGGAGGGCTGGCAGGCGAGGGCTCAGTCCTGAGGAGAGGGAGGGAGGCTGTCCCTTCAGACTCAGAAGAAAGGCCTGCAGAGCAAGAACCACCCCCTTTCCACACCCCTGCAGAGACCGACACTTGGAGCTGTTTGGTCTCCATCTGTGTCAAAAATCATCATGAAAAGTAACCTGAAGAACATGCTATTTGTTCATTCCCTGAGCTAGTGCAGCCCGTTACACAGGCCAGTGTGAACCACAGCAAGGCCTGAGCATCCTGATTCCCCAAACAACAGAATTCTGCACTGACAACACACCCACTGTTCACACGGAAGTAACAAGCTGCTGATCTGCTGCTTTGTTCAGGTGCCTGGGGCTCCACGTCACCCCGGAGATACCCAGAAAAGCTTTACTTTCCCTGTGAGGTTGATGTGTTTGTCCCAGACGGACATTGCAAGTCACACTCTGGATGCAACCTGTCTTTTTAAAGGGCCAGAAGTGTCAGGCCTAGATTTAGAAGGCAGCTAGCAATTCCAGCAGCCTCTGTGCTTCCTCCACGTCCTGTCCCATGGCCTTGATCTTCCTGCTCTTCACAGCCTCACTGATCCTCTTTCTGTTTGCATTCTGTTTTATAGGAGGCATTCTTGTAAGGATCCTGAAACTTTGGTGAAAAAGAGCACAGTATAAGGAAACTGCACACTCACCTGGTGCATGGTTCTTCCCTGCTGGTCTGGGAAAAGCAGACACCTGCGGAGGCAGAAATCGGGGGAGGGGGGAGGGATGTAAGCGACCAGGCCTGCCTCCAGCCTCCGACCCCATTGCTGCCACCCCCACGCACGAGGGAGGAGAGGCTTCTGCCAGGGGCCCCTCATCAGAGCAAAGCCCTCAGCCGGGACTTGATGGGGACCCAATCCTGTGAATGCTGAACTCAGATTCCTTTCTCTACCTAAAGAATATATGCATCTCCATCTCAGTAGCCAATGTGCAATTCACTACCTGCCCCTCCACCATTACCCAGAAATATAACTAATAGAAATTTATTCTGAAGTTCAGGCAAAGATTTAGCTGCCAAGATATTTATTACAATTTGGAAAGACTCTGAAAAAGATAGAAATAACCAAATTGCTCACTACAGAGGACTAGTTAAATATACTACATCCAAAGGGAATAAATATCTACACCCAAAGGAAAATAAATACTATGTAGGTAATGAAAATAAAATCATAGAAAATTACTTATCACTAGCATACTGATAACTGAAGAGAGCAGTTGAAAACTTTGACCAACACACACACACATTCACTCATACTCACTCACATTCAGTCTCTGAAATGATGTAAGACAAACAGGTAATAGTAGTAATCAGCATGGGGTAGTTGGATAATGACCATTTAAAAAATTTTTTCTTTGCACTTAGATGAATTTTCCAATTTTCTAAGTTCTTTTATGACAAAAAGGCATCTCATATATTATCATTTCTTAAAAAGGTTATTTTAAAGACATCTGTAGCCTACTAACCTTCTAACCTGAAACTTCTATCACCAGCCCTGCCCTGGCAGGTGCTGAGGAAAATTCACTGCAAAATCCTACAATGGGTTCTTGAAGGCGGAGTCCATTAAATGGAGCTTAGCTAAGGCAACAGGAAGCTTATGAACCTGGGGCCTGCTTCTCTCTTGTGGTTACGGTTTGTCAACAGTGACTTTTATCAGGAGCTGTCCTGGCTGCCTGAGCTGCTCTCTGCCCAGGAAGCGGTCCTGGTCTGGCTCTGCCACTTACCAAATACGAGACAAGATCTGATGGCTTCTCCTGAGCCCTCCTCCTCCTTTCCTCATTTTCCCAGGGAACAGGAACACGAAGGTTCAGGAGCAAATTTACTGTGGCTGGAACCATCAGTTGGACCCCACACCTATCTCTCTCCTGAACAGACACGAAGCTGGTCTTAGGTATATTCCTACTCAGGACAGAGACACACTGGAGTTTGATCCAAGAATTCTGCAGAGACACTAAAACTCTAGAATTACGGAAACTCCATTAAGAATTCTGAGGGTGTTGCTTAAAAATTGGAGACTACCTAAGTGCTTAAAAATAAGAGATTGGTTAAACAATTATGATACAATTAAAGCATGCCGAGCTACGAACCAACTTAAAATATTACAAAAGAAATACCTGGCCTGGAAAGCCCTTCCATCAATACCAGTAGTGTATGAACACAGACAGGGAAGGGAGGGATGGACGGGATTTTCCCGAGTGCCCTGGAGCTGTAGCTAAATCCCACAGACACCAAATTCTAAGCAGGAGCTGCTAGACACCCCCCGCACAGCTTCCTTTGGGAACAGGGAATCACTGAAGGAGAGCCTGGGGTGGGGGGTTTCCTCCCCTCTCCCCGGGGGACTGCTCCACTCCCAGGCCACGAGAACTATTCGTGGAGACTGGAGGGAGCTTGTGGAAAGCGTACACTCATTTTGCACCCCCAGGCACAAACTCCTAGGTACGTGGTGATTCAGCAGAGGGGAGCATGAGAGAGTCCCTGTGAGGCCAGGAAGCACACGGAGACCCAGAGTAGAAGCCACCCTCACAGCTGAAGAATTTGGAAGTCAGAGGCTGGCCAAGGCCACCACGGTGGCCAAGTGAGGAGGGGGGCAAGAGAGGGAGCCACCTTCACCGCCTGCATTTGTTGGAACAAGGATGCAAGAGTTTTCAGGAGCCCAGTGGAGAGTGGGCACGCTTGACCATGATTGCAAGGACACTGATCAGACAGGCTGCCTGCCCAGGGTAAGAAAGCCAGCCCTGGGAGGTGGGAGCATGGAGTGGGGGGTTGGCACAGGTGTCTGTTAGAGGCCCTGCAGCCTCCTGCCTCATGGAGAGCAGCCTGCATCAGGCAGGGGGAAGCTGTGAGCAGCACCAACTGAGGAGGTATTTCTGCTACTCTTCTCTATGTCCCCCTCCTCACAGCCTGACCCTGGAGGGGAAGAGAAATCCAGTGAGGAGAGGGAAGAGCCGAGGAGCAGACAGAACTTCATCTTTAAACTGGGAGAAACTCAAAATGGGTCGTGAGAGTGAAACGTTATTAGACCGCAGCCAGTGAGGCGAGCCTATTCTTTATGATGACTCTTGGGGCTGTGCCACTCGGGCATTCCCTGAGATAGCAGCCTGCCAGGAAAAGGGTCTGGGTTGAACTGTTGTTAATCCCCAAAAGTATGCTGGGGCCCTCGCCCTCAGTGTCTCACAATGTGACCTTATTTAGAAATTAGAGTCTTTGCAAATGACCGCGTTAAAATGAGGTCTTTGGGGTGGCCCTAATTCAACAGCACTGTGTCCTTATGAAAAGGGGAAATCTGGACACAGACACAGGGAGAATGCTCGTGAAGATGCAGGCAGAGATCAGGGTGGGTGATGCAGCAGAAACCAAGGGATGCTAAGGGCTGCCACCAAACCTCCACGAGCTGAGAAGCCTGCAGTGGACCCTCCCTCCCAGCCTCAAAAGGACCCACCCTGCCCGCACCTGACCTGGGACTTCCGACTTCTAGAACTGTAAGAGATCAAATTTCTGTGGCTTTAGCCACTCAGCTTGTGTTACCATACTTTGTTAGTGAGGCCTGGGAACCTCATACAGGAAGGCAGACCCAACAGCATGGGTCTAAAACACTAGGTGGGGATCCTTTCCTCCCTTTCCTGTTGGCGCATATCACCTTTGGCACGTGGAATGGGTTCTTAGAAACACAGAATGAAAACACTCTGAAGAAAACACACCATATGTGAACAGTGGTTACCTTTGCATGCTAAGATGTTTGTTTTTACATATGACATTTTCTAAGTTTTTTAATAATAAACATGTGCTCATTGTTTAATGTTGAAATATTTCATTAAAATATACATATATCATCTTACTGGATTTTCTCTCCATGACCTCCTGTCAGAGTCCTTCCCCTGGAGGAGAGGAAACCTGCCAGAAGGTCTGAAGGGTGGAAGGCAGGAAGGGGTGGGTTTGAGCGGTGAACTGTAGCACCCAGGAGGAAGACCCCCCTGGCGCACAGGAGCCCTGGGGCTAGTGCTGGCTCAGCCTCTAGAAAGCTGGGCGGCTCTGAACACCTCTCTCATGCCCATTTTCTGCTGTCTTTAACATGAGAAGGGAAAATGAAATACTCTTAGATTAAGAAAGCAACTTCTGTGTCTTAACTAAATTATTGTAAAAGGACTTGAACTAAACTAGATATGTAAAAGGGCTTTACGTATCATCAGAAGTCAGGTATGGAGGCGGTGGTGGGATGAATGAGCTAAAGATCTAGCTAAACAGACAGGACAGAGTAAATGCATCAGAGTGTAGAGGTCTGGGTACTTGGGACCATCCTCCTGAGAATCCTGGGTGTCCCTTTCCTCCTAGTCCATGCTCCTCACACCCTACAGCAGGAATCCCCCTCTCCTCCTAGCAAACCTTCCCCTAAACCAAATCCTAGATAACCCCCTGATTCGATGATATCACCCAACTCCACTCTGCCGACAAGCGGGTCCTTGGCTATTTTAGGGACACTGCTTTGGGGGCTGCTTCCTGTGACCTCCAACTTCAGCCCTAAGCAACGGAGAGGCCTCAGAGAGGGGTCCCTCTTCCCAAAGCAGATTGCTTCTCCCCAGGTCACCTTCTTTACAAGAATCACTCTATTCCCAGCATGCCCAGACTTGAGGACTGGGCCAATTCAGATTGCCAAAGCTCCATCCTCCTGCTGAGAACTCACCAGCAGTGGGAGGCTCAGCTTGGCCTCCGAGACCCGCTGTGGGTAGAAATGAGCTTGAGCGCACAGACAGGACTGAGCCCCAGCTACCGTCTGAGTCTAAGCCTTTGCAGAAACACTAAGAACACCTGGAAATAAACAGACCACATGGTGAGTCTCCCATGACACCTCCACAAGAGTGGAAACAGGCTGGAACAGGTAAGGGAGTCAGAAAGAGTGGAAACCCACGAAGGGCCCACACACCGCATTTCTGGCTTTGAGAATGGACGCACGGCATGAGAGGGAGCCAAGCAAGGACCTCAGCCAACGGTTGGCAAGGAGCCGGGGGCTCTGGCCTAAAGCTGCCAGAAACTGTCTCGCCCAACCCTCCCGTGGGCCTGAGCAGGCTCCGCAGAGCCCCAGGTGAGGCCCATCGCCCCACGCTGTGACTTCAGCCTGGGGAGACCAGAGCGGGAGCCCAGAACCAGCCACCTGGGCTTATGGTTCATAGAACCGGAGCTCCCGAGTTGCTTTAATTCTCTAAATCTGTGACAATTTGTTACACAGTCACAGATGACTAAGACAGGCCTGGGTGCTCGCAGGAAAGATTAGGGGTGGGCAGGAGACCACACAGACTCCCTGGGCAGTGAAGTTCTGGAGAAGGGAGTGGCTTCCATACTGAGAATCACGGGAAGCCCCATCTTTCCAGAAATTTCTCTTCTGAGGAACAAATTTCTCTTCCTTCTGCGCAGCTGGAAAAGAGCAGCAAGCGCTGTTGCTCCCAGAGCACAGGTAAGACCTAGGGCATCTGGCAGGGCCAAGGGGGAAAAGCCCTCTACCCTAGAAGAGGGGCAGGCCCGGTGCTGGGCTCAGCCTCTCGGAGCCCCGTACCACCGGGGGAGGGGCAGCCCCCCCGCAAAGCCAGGGACCCAGGGCCCTCCTCGGAGAGAAAGAAAGCGCCCCCGCCCCACCACCACCGGGGCAGCCAATGCGGAGAGTCAGCGCCACGCAGCGGGGTGCAGCCCGCCCACTCAAAGCATGGAGCAGGGCCTACGGCCCGGGGTAACCATAACAACAGATGTCAGCCCAGCCGCGCGCCCGTGGGTGTCACCGCACCAACCTCCTGCCCTCCCGGCGCCACACACAGCGACAGCCAGAAGTCTCTGCCCCGCCCCCCACACAATGTTCAGCATTCATTTAAAAAGAATACAAGATAAACAAAAACCAAGAAAGGCCAACTATTGAAAAGAGACAAAGCAAGGACCAGAGCCACCTAGATCCTAGGGTCTGCGAGTGTACGTGTTGCGTGGGCAGCTCTTACGCACGAACAAGAAACACTGACGCAATGAGGAGAAACGGACACATCTATCACAGTGAAAAGATCCTAGTGTACATTTTTAGAAACGAAGATCTAGGATACAAAAAAGAATGGTAAAAATAGATAACATGAGTAACAACGCAAAAGCTTGATCTATTGGATAAGACAGAAAAATGTTCTCCAGAATTAGAAAATATACCCTTTTTTTAAGCACATCCGAGTAGTTATAGAGATTGACAAATAAGCTAAAAAAATAAACTTTTAGAGGTCATGATTGCATAACTGCCACTCACAAAACCAAATAATAAAAGGAGTGTAAAAATATTTCTAACAACTGCAAAAATACTACATATCAAAGTTGGTGGATATTTACAAACACATACTTAAAAGGAAAATTATAGCCACATTAAATAAAAACTGAAAATTAATGATATCCAAAGCAGGATATAGCATACAAAGAAAAAAAAGAAAAGAAACCCAAAAGACATAAAAGAAACAAGTATGAGCAGAGATTTAAAAAGAAATCAAAGAAATAATGGCACAGGTAAATAAATCCTGCCACAAATATATTACCTGAATCAAACCTAAATTGAGGAACATTCTACGAAATAACTGGCCTGTAGTCTTCCAAAAGGTCAATGTTATTACAGGCAATGAAAGACTGGGGAACTGTTTCAGAGTAAGGGAGACAAAAGAGAGGTGAGAAACAAGCAACATATGATCTGAGATTTCCTTTAGTTAGAAAGGGAATTATTGGGACAAGCAGTGAAAGCTGAGTAAGATCCGTGGGTTAGAAACGTAGTGTTAATGCTAATTTCCTGATTTTGATCATTCTGCTGTGGGTGTGTGACAAAATGTCTTTTAGGGAAATGTACATTGAAGTATATCTGCCCACACATATGAACGGAGGGGGAGTTACGGAAGGAAAAAGCACACTGAGAGAAAAAACGAGTCAAAGAGGGCCTCTGCTGAGTAACCCCTGGGGTGCTCATTTCTGCGCAGCAAGCTGCCGTTGGCTCAAAAGACCCATAGCCCCATACTGCAATGTGAACACATGCAATTGTTTTAAAGATAGCCCAAGTATCAGCAGATTTTTAGTCATTTGGAACCCGCTTGCTTTGCCTACCCCCTGAAACTGCACCCAACCTCTGGTAACCATGGATAACATAAACTGTGTGGCTATGAAGACCCCAAGCGTCCCTGACCCAGAGATACGGAGGAGTTGTTCTCCGTCCTGGGAAGTGGCCCCCGGGCCCCACCCTCCGGATGATCTCATGCTGCAAGGGACTCGCCCCAGTGTGCATGCATAAAAAAGGCTTTAATAAAAACTTGTGTGAGTTCCTGTCACCTCCGGTGGCATCTTTTTCCTAAATCAGCCTTGAAATCCCTCCGACCCCCTACACAAATGTGGGAAAATGTTAATATTTGGGAAGTTTAGATGAAAGGTATTCAGGAATTCTTTGTTTCTACTAATGCAACTTTTATTACTACTACTATGACTTTTAAGTTGGAAGTTCTGCCCAAAAAACAAACAAACAAACAAAAACTGAAGTCAACTCTTGGAAAGGATTTATTAAGACTAAAGGACATAATTGGTTTGTATTTAAAACTACATTTAAGTAAGATAGACTAACTTCAGGTCCAATTGATCAGGAAAACAAGAGAAAGCAAAAATAAAATTTTAAACATGGAAAAGGAGACAACTTCAGGTATAGTACAGATATTTTTACTTTATGAGATCACTATAAATAATTTAATGCTATAAATGTGAAACTAAACAGGACAATTTTCTAGAAAAATATAAATTGCTAAAATTGACAAAGCAATAGAAAACTGAATAAACTACTCAACATTAAGTGAAACGGATCCATACTCAAAAATATACCCATCAGAGAAACACCAGGCCCAATCCAATTCTATTAAAGTTCAGCAATGTATATAAGCCGAAAAGGATTTGTATCTAGAATATATGGGGAAAAAAAATACTAAAATTAAGAAAAAGACAAATCAAAAGAAATATAGGGAGAGGTAATGACCACGCAAAAACACCATATAGTTTATGATGACTTTTATATCTAGTAAGTAAATAAAAACAGTAAGGATACATAGAAATCCCAGTTGTTACCTGAGTGAGAGGAAGGAAAATGGATTTGGGGGGCAGGGAGTGGTATAAAAGGGCTCCAGGGAGTATTTCCAGGGTTTAGTTCTTTAGAAAATCTGAAGCAAATAAAGTAAATTTTCGATTTTTGCTCAATCTTGATAAGTACAAAGGTTTCTTTTTTTTACTTTGCTATACACTGAGGTTTTTCTAATATTACTAATTGATACTGGTAAAGAAGAATTAGGGATTGTAGAAGACCCAAATTCAAGTCGTAATGGAAAAAATGGATACATTTGACCTTATCAAGACTTAACTATGACATCAGTCTGTCGGCCCCAGTCCATTGGTCTGCAAACAGGAGCTCACACTGCCCCACCTCCCCTTACCTGGGCCCCGTGGACAGAGCTTCACCAATCTGTAGCAGAACATCCCCCTACTCACTTTTCTCACTCCTCCAGCTCAGATCCCCTCACCTCTACTCATTACTGGTACCAAAAGACAAATATAACCGCGCCACTGCCTTGCTTAAAACACGTGGGGCACCAACGGGACCTACTTGATCTGCTCTCTGAACCTCCTCCAGCCTCCCCGATGGTCTCCACGGCGCCAAATCCAGCAGAGCCCACTCACTGCACTCTTCTTTGCAATACTGTTCCCTCCTCCTGGAACACCCTTTCTCCCCCTTTCACCCGTGCAGATCTTATTTTTAAGTGTGACCTTTACTTACGCGATCCTCAATTGGAACTGCCCTCCTTCCCGGTGGCCACTCATCCACCAGAGATGATTATCAGGGCACCCCCACCTCAGCGGCCCTGATCTGTTCACGCAACCCGCATCTTCATAGGACCCCAGCCCAGGATGGGACTTAGGCTTCCTCAGTGCCTGACCCAGACTCCATAGTTCGTCGGATGAAGACGGACACGGAAGACTCCTGAAATAGCAATAATTTCATATCCTTCCCTGCCCTCACAGCTCATAGCCTACCATTGGCTGCAATGTGGGGTCTGCAGGCTTGATGAGCATCCAAATTGGTGGGGTTTTCCTCAGCTGTTCCTCTTCGCCCACAGAAGACCCGGCTGCTGGAGCAGAGTTCAGGAACCTGGATGGGTAATGAAACTCCAGATCAAGGGACGGGAACCATTCGGGGAAGAGCTGGCTCTCCTCTCACCAGGGCCACGAGTTACCCGGTCCCCTGTGCTATCACCTGCGGACGGTGGGCTCCAATGAGGCTGAGCTGCGGGAGGACGGAGAAGGAGTGAGACCCAGGCTGCCCACATCCCCAGCCCCAAACCAGACAGGAACCCGGACGCTCCGCAGTGGACGTCAGATGGAGCCGCCCACCCAGACCCCGGAGGAGAACCCCCTCCCAGCGTCGCTGGCTCTGCAGTCATGGATCTGCCACACATGCCCCCTCTACGACCGAGAGCGGAGGGGACCACGCGTCCGAGGTGCAGCCCAGGGCCTCAGAGCCAGCCAGGTCCGGGGTGCTGGCAGCCGCGAGACCAGCCTGGAGTCCGGAAATACACGGATGGCACTCAGAGACCTGCTGGCACAGCATAGCGCCACTGTACCTGGCAGAACTACAACTCCCGGCAGCCTCTGCGGCAAAGCGCTTCCGCTGGGCATGTGGTATTTCTGGCCATGGGATACCGGGTGTGGGTGGGTGGCCCTGTGTGGTGGACCAGTCCAGCGGGAGGCGACTCCTGCAGTGGCCCCAGTGGACCCACGGGCTGTTGGTGACCTCGCCCTCTTCCACGTCGCTGCCGGTTCCCACTGTGCCATCGGGTCACGGTTGCCCCAGCCTCGGCTGTCTGTCCGGGACCTGGCTGTGGCGGCGTCCCTGAGTACCTCAACTCGGAGTCTACTATCCAAGGGGGTCTGAGTCCAGCACTTTACCGTGAAAAAACGCCTGTTTTTTAGCCCCCTCGGCAGTTCCCAAAATAGGTACCATTATCCCGATTTCGCAAATAAGGAATCAGAGGCTACATTTCTCGGTATTTTTACTCTAGAGGAACACTTGAAATAATTCTCAGGACTCAAAAACCCCTGCCTAAATATTAGAATAAGGCGATCATGAAATTAATACATGAGATACTGAATATACAAACAGTCAATGGCCAGACCATGTATAGAAATAGAACTCTGACCTACCAACTCCCCCTCACCCAACCTACCCAGAAACCAGCCACTTATCTACAATAAACAGCCCAGGAAGCCAGATTGCTATCTCTAGTAACAGTCCAGGAGGCTAACCTAACAGTCTGCCCCAAAATGATCAAGACTCAATCAATAACTGACAGCTTCTCTAATTTTTGTCCCCACCCCCACTTCTTAGAACTGAACAGAGAAAGTTGAATATGCACCCCTAACCAATCACAGAGGATGCCCCATTTCTAGTTACCTGGCCTCCAGCTTCCCTAGGCCACAGTCTCCATTGAGGACAATCAGAAGCCTTCCCCTTTTGTCCACCATAAAACTCTTCCACTCCTTTGTCTGCCTTTGAGTCTGCCAAAACCCAAGTGACTGTGACTGACTCCTTTGCTGTGTAGCAAGCTCTGAATAAACAGCCTTTCTCTGTTTTCATTTGGTTGATCTTCCTTTACTTTCAAAGATGTAATTGTCAATATTTTTCTGTATGATCTCTTTATTTTGGCTAGCTCCTCTTTTGTGTGGTTTGCCATTAAAATTTTATTATTCAAAATTCACAAAGTAAGTGAAGGTAAGAGAAATTTAAACTTTAAAATGATGCTTTTTATACAGTTGTAGCATTCATACAGCCAAATTTATTAAAGGTTAAAACTTTGGGCTATCCTATAAGAGTGCTAATAAACTGGACTTACTTTACCATGTTATTCACATTGCCTGTAGCATTTGAACAACTGGGTATGATACTGGTCTAAAGTAGATAATTCTTTTCAACATGTATGGAGAAAGAGAGAGGTAGATTAGGGGCAATGAACATTATCATGTGATTTGTACTATTAAGCCGATCATTTTACCTACTTACAAGTATGCTCAAATAGCAACTTTCATATCAATGAATCTGTTTTGCATTATGGATAGAGCCTTGAAGAACTTTTAAAAGGTACTGTTAGATACACCTCACCTCTCTTGGAAAAACAACAAAGTGATTCCATTATTATATAACATGGGATTGCTTTTCCTTTTGTTTCTACTTCCTGTATGAGGTTAGACATCAGGGGTTTATTTGAATCATTTGCAGATTCAGCTTCATAGCTTTCTACCCTTTGGGTTATTCCAGAGAGGATTGATTATAAATGGTTGAAATTATTTCCTTAAAAACAATTTAAAAATATTCATTTGTAAACATTCCAAGTGTAGAAGCTTTTATAAGATAATTCTTTTGGTGTTTTATGTCTTTTGTTCTTTTCTTCCTGTTTACCGATTTTGGCAATTTTTCTTCCAATTGTCTTTTAATTCAGCATTTCCAAGTTGTTTTTTTACTGTTATTTATTACACCTGTTACATTATTTAAAATTTCCTGATCTAGCTTTAGAGTTTCCCCAGAACTGCTACCTCTTTTGTATTGATTAGCACAACCAGAGACTTATCATTTTTTACTTTTCCCCAAGATAAAGCCTTAGATTTGCTTACTAATTCAATTTTTCTTTTACTTCGCTGATGAGAGACCAAACTCTCCCCAGTTATCATCTTCTAAGTTCAAGATTGCATGGCAACTACTTTTAAAATAAATGGGGAAGGGGATCCCTCTAATCCTCATTACAAAAAAAGATCTAAAAAAGGATGGAGCTACATTATTTAGGGTAAAACTACTGTAATAGAGACACCAAAACAACAGTGCCTTATAAAGTCATAGACAATTATTCCTTATCAACCCATCTGGGCAGCACCAAGGGAGTTAGGAAGCTAGACTCCTTCTAAGTGACTTCTCTAGCATCTCTAGGATGTTTTCCTCATCTGTGTGGTTCAAGATAGCCAATAGCACATCTATATCTCAACAAGCAGTAACAGGAAAAGAGGAAGTGCAGAGTTTAAGGTTAGAGGCACTTGGGGAGAGGGGTGAGCACGTCGGACACTGATGACGTGACAAAGTCCCCGGCTGTTGCCCCCTCCCAACCTGAAAAAATGTGCCTCGGGCTAGCCAATCCTCGCACTGCTGTAAATCTAAGCTCTGCCTCCCCCTGCCTTCTTTAGAAACTCGCTGCCTGTCTACTTACATGCGACTTCCCCAGCCTCCATTTCCGTAGACTGGGGAACCTCGCCCAGGGCGTTCAAATAAACTGCCTGGCCCTTTGTTGCCTCTCTTTGCCTGCTTATTTCGGCTAGAATTTATTTTACACAGAGAATGCCCCTTCTTGTAAGGGCATAATCCAGAAGAGGCATAAGTCACTTCTACTCGCGTCCCGTTGGACAAGATTTAGAGGACTACCACTATCTACAGAGAAGACTAGGAAATAAAGTTTTTATTCTGGCAATGTTCCCAGCTAAAATTGGGGATTCTTTTATTTTAGAAGCAGAGGACAGATATTGGGAGATAACTAACAGTGTCTGCCCTAAGAGATAAGAAGGGTGAGAGATATTAGAGAGCATGCCTGCCAACAAGAGAAGTGGATTGTGAAATTAACCATGAACCTCCCCCATCTCACTGAGTTAGACTAAAGATAGCATTGCATTTTATTTATTGTTTCCATTTCACCAGAAAATTTAAACTTCTGGGATGGGAATGGAAATGATAAGTGTAATAGCTACCCAGATATGCTGGATAGAACTGGAGACAAGGGAATCTAACTGCTTTGATTACAGATTTCCATGTTGTTCAATTTATTTGAAGAACATAATAAATGTATGGTATAACAAATCAAACACTACAGATATTGGAAGGAAGCTAATTCCCCTGGCCCCATGTTCCCCAGTAACAAATGTAAATAGCCTAGTACCTACTCTTCCATATAATTCTCCTGCCTCTGTAATCATAAAAAATCCCATAAAGACTGTTCACACTTAATAAGATTATCAATATGGTTGGGTTTAAATCCCTGATCTTGCTATTTGTTTTGTATTTGTCCCATTTGTTCTTTGTTCTCCTTTCATCTTTTCCTGGCTTCTTTTGGGTTAATTGAGTGTTTTTTTATGATTCCTGTTTTAATCCACTTGGGCTTCTATAACAGAGTATCATAGACTGGATGGCTTATAAATAACAGAAATCTATTTCTCACAGTTCTAGAGGCTGGAAGTCCAAGATCAAGGTGCCAGCAGATTTGGTATCTGGTGAGAGCTGCTCCCTGGCTCATATACACAGTTCTTTTCACTGTATCCTAACATGGTGGAAAAGGAGAGGGAGTTCTCTGGGGTGTCTTTGATGAAGCAGTAATCCTATTCTTGAGGGCTCCACTGTGATGGCCCAAGCACCTCCCAAAGGCCCCACATCCTAATACCATCACATTGGCAGTTAGGTTTCAACGTAGGAATTTGGGGGGAACACAACATTAAGTCTATAGCAATTCCATTTTCTCTCTCCTGTTGGCTTATTAGCTGCAACTCTTTGCTTTACTATTTTAGTGGTTGCTTTAGATTCACAGTATCCATTTTCACTTGCCTGGCATTCTGTCCTGACAACCCTAACTACCTCAGTCTCCCTGGACCCTAAAGTCCTGCTCCTCAACCCAGGGAGTCCACTGGACCTCACTGGGTTCCCCTCTTGGTGTCTAAGCCTGAAAATTCTCCCAAGGCTATATAACAAAACTTGAACAGGCATTTTCCATACGGAAAAAAAAATGGACAAATAAGTATACAAAAAGGTGTTCAACTTCAGGAATGATCAAGGAAATGCAAATTACAAATCACCTGACTGACCCTGGAAACACCAAGTATGGGGAAGGCTGTAAAACCCCTAAAACACTCATTACTGGTAAGAGTGGAAATCAGCACAACCATGTGGGGCAATTGTCCCCTCCATGCGGGAAGCAGGGGGGCGGTTGAGGGGGTGGTCTCACACACACATACATGTTTGTTTAAAACACTACTTGAAAAGTTAACAAATATTATATAACAGTCCCTGAAGTCCTCAGGCCCACTTGAGGCTACTTTTTTCTCCTTAATGTATCTGCCCATATAACAGTTCTAACTTTGACCCTTATACTTTGCACCTGCATGAAGCTGAATTGCATGTGGATTCTAGGAATACCTCCACATCTTCTTATATGCCGGGTGAGTTCAATTAAATCTGGCAAGTCCCCATTAGAAGTGACAAAAGGGAAATAACTATCATAACAGGGCTATTTTGCAAAATCATAAAGACACTAGCTTATTTTGCACAACTCTATGCACATCAACTAGAAGGCCTGGAATGCTATACAAATAATGAGAAAATGACAAGAAATTTATAAATCTCTAGAAAAA